CTCCTCCTCCAGCTTCCGGGCACTTCTACGGCTTGAGTGGGAGCCAGAACCGGTGCCGGAGCCGGAGTTTGCCTGCCCATCCGCTTTTCATTGTGGCCCCGGGAAAAGGGACGGGCCGTGTCCCCTGGACGATGCGCAGGATCCAGGAGCTGTCAAGGAGCAACGTCAAATAATTGCATATGAAACCGCAGGAGCAGTTGACGGCCTCCTCTGCTGCAGTGCGCCAGCAGGACGGCAGCCGCAGGACATGCACAGCATGGCAATGAGAGCCGCACAGGATGCAGGATGGGGCGACTGGAATGGAATCAAACTTAATTTATAATTCATTTGTGCACCACACGTTGGGCCCAATGTGCTGCTGCTGCCGGCTCCTGAGCTTGTGAGCAAATTGCGAAAGTAAATTAAGCCCCAAGACTCAGATTTTCTAAAGGATGCGTGATTGTTACTAGGATTTCAATATAGCCCAAGGTGAATAGGCCTTCGAACTTGGTATGCTGGAAAAATCAGGTTTCTTAAATGGCTTAGGTAACTTGGCTATACACGACTATGATCGAAAGGATGCGTGATTTTTGCTTCGAAGGAGCTAAAAAACAGATTAAAATGATAAATAATTTAGAAAAGGGTATGCGTTTTAAACTTATCTCTTTCCATCTGCTCTCTTTACAGAATCTTACATTCATATCATAAGACATTTTCTAAATTTGTCTGGGAAGTAGAAAACTTTTGTTCCAATTTGGAAGTTCATAATCCTTAGCTACACATTACCTAATGAAATTCTTACAAAACCTTTTGGAAAATCCAATCCACTTAATATATAATATTAAACCCAAGTTCATACAACACAAAAACCTTTGAAGCTTTCTATATTTTAGTCCCACTAACACAAAATAAAATAAACGAATAAATTTCGGGCCATTAGTAAAAATTGACATAAAATTTGTGGGTACTTCACAGAATTATAGCTAATGCCCGGTTCTTTGGAAAAACCTGTACCCTTCACCACCACCATTATAGCATTCATTATCTATCACTTGATACTCCCATCTGGCTCATTATAGTCGCTTTTCGACCCACCACCACCCATCACCCATCGCCCAGTCATGGAAAATTCAACAAAATGCCCGAATGAAAGGCAAAGCGGTGGAGCCGCAATTTTCGCATTTGATTTAATTGTGAATGTATTTATTAAATAAATTATTCATGGCCAGGGTGAGTGCACTTCGCCATGTGAATGTGCTGTGGCTGACCTAAACATGTCCTGGCCGCAGGAGCGCCGTCACCGGTGCACAGCAGGCTGAATGGGTGGGAGAGAGGAGTGGTGGAGGCATGGAAGAAGGAGAGGAAGGAGGAGGTCCTGTGTTCCGTTTGCCACTGTAATTAGTTGTGGTGGAATAATCGCATGCGACCGGCGACATTTCTCTGTGGCAAGGAATGTTCGGTGGTTTCGGCTAGTCCACTCCACTTGTCCTGTGTGTATGAGCTGTGTGTGTGTGTGTGCGTGTGCTTTGGTATGGGTGTTGCCCGGAATGAGGAAGTGCCGTGGAGGGGGGAAGGGGGTTAAAGGACTGCGATCTGGGGGCGGTGGTAATGGCATAAATTCGGAATGAGTCCCTACGAATTTACCATAATAAAGGCGGAGTGGGGGGTGATGGGCAGCGCGACGAGGATGTGGATGGAAACATGTGTTTATGTGTACAATAATGGGCTGCGGGCGGCATGGGCGGAATGGGCGGGGCACCACTTGTGGTTGGGCGGTGCGGGCAGTTGGTGGTGCTTGCATTTTGGCCTTTCTCGGAATCGGTGACATTTTAATTTACCCAAGCGAGAAAACCAATTTTGTTGCAATGAACCAAAATGGAAAATGTGACAAATGCCACAGCAGCAGGCTAGCATTGTTTCTGTGCATAATTTATTCAACATTTATTTATTGGCAGTTATGATTTGCATTATGTGGTTGTCAAGGGCTTTCCAGGGGGAGGCAACTGCAGTCTGAGGTCCACTTAATTGACTTTACAAAATTACATTTGCATTTGACCAAATTAACTGAAATGAATAAGCCTTCCCCTTTCGCCCGCTTCTGATTGCTGGCTAATAAATGAGTTATAAATCACTGGATATGAGATTTGAAGTTAGAATCCCTTGTGGACGAGGTTTGAACTCGATTCTGATTGCTGGGAAAAGGCTTTTAAAATCATAATTAGATGTGGGATTTTATGTGATGTCAAGATATTTGCATTTGGATTACAGGAAAGTAGATTTATAACGTAAATCGGAAGAAAAGTGCTACATGACCTATCCAGTGTGAAGTGAAATCTCAAAAAGATAATCCTTATCAACTTTAGGTCTTCCACAATTTCAAATTTTATCTAAACCCAAAGGCGTGGCTTTAACGCGGAACTTCTTTCTACACCGAAAAAGTTACACTTTCAGTTCCGGCTGTCTATTCCCATCCGGACCAAAGCACCAATTCCGCATGATGGACTATTGCAAATTCCTGAGCGCTTTAAGGGGCACTATCATGGCAAAAAAGCTCGCCATGCCATATATCCGCACTTCGGATGGAAACGGGAGTCGAGTCTTGCGGTGCTCTCGTGTCAGTGCGCTGATTAAATTCGGCAAATAACGCTGATGCCTGCAAATCGCCGCTCAATGCGAAAGCAGTCTCTCTATATCTCTCCATATACGTACAGCTGTGTGTGGGTGCGGGTACGGGTGCGGATGCTTGCTGCAGGGTGTGGCATCTGAGTCAGGTTAGGAACTAGAACTGGGATCTGGGATCTGGGGTCTGGGACCATGTTGAAGTACACAAAACCCAGGCAAACAAACAGGCATTTCATGGCAAACAACACAGTTAGAGGACGGGGTAGGAAATCGGAAAGGGTAGAGGCCGTGGGACTGAACTCTAGTTTTCCCCGGCACTACACTCTACACTGCTCTGCATTTCCATACTACCCCCATCTCCCCCTCCGTTTGGCAGAGCCCACAGGCTGAGTTGGGCAAACTGGCAAATACGGCCAGCCACGTCAACGTTGGCATCATCGTCATCGGCATCGAGGAGCTTTGTTTGGGTTGTCCAGGGGATGGGGTTCCGGGTTTTAGGTACGTAGGGTGTAGATATATGTACGTATGGGGTTTTCCCAAACTCAGCCAGCCCACACAACCTGCTCCCAACTCATTCGCATTCGCAGTCGTCGGCATTTTATTGTTCTAGTCGTCGACATCGATGTTGGTACTGCAGTTTCGGGCATTATTTCGGTTTAGTTTGGTAAATACACATGCAGCAGCAGCAGCAGCAGCAGCACCCAGCACATGCACATGCACATGCACATTTTCACTCCCATTTCCATTTCCATGTCCAGGCCATCTACATACTACCCCAGATCCCAGATCCTAGATCCCAGCCTCAGCCTCCACTCACCCCATTTTCATAAACGACACAAAACGCTCTAAACCATGAGCTTATGCAGCAGACGTTATCATGATGTTCTACTGGGGGAAACTGTTGATGTTGATGATGATGATGAGGAAGCCAGTGATGCAGCTGCATTCTTGGTTGCATTTTTCCTTCATTTAATAAAAGCTCTCGAAGAACTGACGGCCTGCCAGATTCCACTTGGATGGAAAGCCAGTAAATAAATAAAATCCAGAGCAGAACTAAGGCTGCCGAGGTGATAATATTTACCCAACCACAAAAGTTTTTCTCTATTTTTGTGGAATTGTTGATTTTCACAAAAATCCGAAATATGTGCATCTCTCGAAGCGAAACAGTATCTAGAATGTGGTATGTAGTAGTATGTACCGACTACCACCCCTGGAAAAACCACTTCCAATGCGAGTTACCATTTGAGACCGAGCAGCTTTAAGGTCCACAAAGGACCAGCCAGCCAGCGAAATGGTTTTCAAAATACATGCCGTGCCGGCCTCATAACATCGTTGTCCTCGATGTCGTTGCAAATTCCATTCGGCATTGAATGCGAGCGGAGATGGTGGTGCTGCAGGAGTAGCAGCAAGAGGAACGGCCAGGAGTTCTCTCCTGGTTCGGCGACCTGAAAGGGGCGGACTCGGGGGTGTGGCTGTCATATCTGAAAGCAATTTCGGAGCGGGCAACCCGAAAACGAGTAACAAGAATCGATAAATTCGTTGGGCGTGCAATTTGCGCCGTTCGGAGGAGCCTCAAAGGAAAAGTGGGCACCCAAAAAGAAGGCGGACAGAGGTGGTGGCGGAACTGCGTACTCGGAATCCTACGCCCTCATCCCATTCGATTCGCATGCCTGAGTGGACCATGTCCGAAATTCAAGTTTCAGGCCTTCGCCATTTGCATTCAACCAGCGTCAACCTGCTAGCCATGGACTGACTGCTCTTGTTCTGGCTTCTGCTCCTCTTGATGGCGGTGGTGGTGGTGGTAGTGACAGTGGCAATGGCACCCGTTACCCGTTACCCGTTGCCTGTTTGCCGTACGGGGATCCACCTTGTCGCCTACGTATGCAAATTGCCGCAAATGCAACGAGGCGTATGCGCAATTTTTGCCCGTCACACAACTCGCGGACATCAATCAGATATTAGCGGAGGAAATTCGAACGAACTGAGTCCCAACCATCTGTCCCCATGCCCTGGGAATCTGGTGTTGTGTCGAATTACAGAGACAGAGGGCCGTATAATCTGGTCCCTCCGGTTCTTATTGAGCTTATGCAAAGTGCATTGGGCGAAGAGCATTTCTCGAAACTCTTTAAAAAATAGAAGTTAAAAATATGTTAAACATTCAAGGTAAAAAGGCCACTTAAAGAATAAAGCCATAACCTTTTGAGGCGGTTAAACTTGGTAAGGAAATGATCCTAGGTCCTATCTTCCTTACCCTTAAATTTACGTTTTAAACTAACCCAAAACTAACCCAAAGATTGGGCTATAATCTTAAAAGCTTAATACTCAAAACTATGAATTTCCCAACGATTTCCCATGTTTCCCCAAAATCTGACCAAAGAAATTTTGCCTTTCCATTGTAGTGCCGCCGAAAGCTGGACAAAAGCGGCCGGCCACCAGCCCTGCACCGCACATCCCTGTGCCGCACCATCTGCAAACACCTCCTGGCGGCGGCGCTGGCGGCTTGCCGGGATCATCGGTGGCCAACAGCCCGGTTCCATCGTCCGCCGGTGGCAACGCTTTGCTGAACCACGCCCTGCCCAGCAATCACATTGGCACTCCGTCGCCGCAGCAACATCAACAGCACCAGCAACATCAACAGCAGCAGCAACAGCAACACCAAGCCCAGCAGCAGGCTGTGGCGGCTGCGGTGCAGCAGCAACTGGCAGCAGGTGTGGGTTTGCCACCAGGAGCTATTGGTGCCGCATCGGCCAGTAGTCGTGGATCTTTTGCCGCCGCACTACGAACGCTTGCCAAACAAGCGGACAACAAGGAGGAGGATGTCGGTGGAGACCGGAGTGTACCAACCTCGGGAGCCGGAGGACCACCACCACCGTCGTCGGGTCCAGGACCTCTAAACTCGGTGGCAGGACGTGTGGGATCTGAGCGCTCTGGCGAGGATCGAGTTGCCAGCAGTAAGAAGCGCTCACCACCATCGCCCCAGCCGCCGGAGAAGATTGCTCGACTAAGTCACACACCACAAACAGCCTCGCTGCAACCAGAACTTTTGGCCAGGAGCGGATTCCAGCCCTATAGATCGGACGAGCGACTGATGCATCCGGCGGGAGCCTTTCCTCTGGAGGCTTACTCGCATTTTGCGGGACTGCCGGGAATCCCGCCAGCAGGTAAGCAAAACGATTGGTCTTGAGATGATAGCAGTAAGGATTCTAGAATATTTTCTAATCATCTTACCACATTGCAGCTTTCTTGAATCCAGCTGGTCTGCCGTACACGGAACAACTCTACCTGGAGCACCGATACCAACTTTTCCGCGCCGCCGGCGCACATCCCTCGCATCCGCATGCAGCTGCATTGTATCCCCAAATGGCCTCGCCCTACTCCCACCTGTATTCGATGATGCCTGGAGCAGCGTTGGGAATCTCGCCAGCGATGCACGACCGAATGAAGCTGGAGGAGGAGCACCGAGCGCGGATAGCGCGGGAGGAGGAACGCGAACGGGAGATGCAGCGCGAAAAGGAAAGGGAACTGCGTGAGCAGCGTGAAAAGGAGCAGCGGGAGAAGGAGCAACGGGAGAAGGAGCAACGCGAGCGTGAACAGCGTGAGAAGGAGCAGCGGGAGAAGGAGGCACGGGAACGCAAGCTCCGGGACGAGGAGCGCGAGAGGGAACGGGAACGCCAGCAACTGCTAAATGCCTCGCACCACTACTCGAACCAATTGTACTCCCCACTTAACCGGAATCTGCTGGGATCCATGATCCCACATCTCAATATGAGTTTACGAGGACCACCAGGAGCACTTCACGGTCTTCCCGGAATGTCGCACTATCATGCAGCAGCGGCAAATGCACAGAGGCAAAGTCCCCACGGAGCCATGGGTCTCAATCTAGGCATGGCTGGCCTCCCAGGAGTGGGAGTTCCTCCGCTGGGCGGTCACGGTCCCAATCTGCAGCATCACCTGCAGCAGGCGGCCATGGGCTTGGCTCATCCGGGGGCTGCTGGCCTCACGCATCCAGGTTTCTCAGCGGCTGCTCTCGGACTCAGTGCCCATCCGCACAGTCTCAACCTCAGCCATCCGCACATGTCGCCGCATCATCCCGCCTCGCTGGCCCACCAGTTGCCACCGCATACCTCTTCGGCTGGCGGAGGAGGGTTGAGCAACTCTATTCCTGTGACAGCTAGCTCCAGCTTGTCTGCATCCTCACCGCATGCCAGCTTAAACCTAACGGCAGCTGTGAAACTGAGCGCAGATCAAGTGCCCACATCGACGCCTAGTAGTGGTGTCAGTGGCAGTGGAATGCCCCCCACCACCTCCAGCTCGCACATTCCCAACATAGGTCACTACTACCATCATGGGCATTTGGCCGCAATGCATGCGGCTGCGGCGGCGGCAAGCGGAATGACTCCGACAGCTGCCCACCAACAGCAGCCGCTCTCGCTGCCCAGCTCGCCCAAGATCACGCCTCCGATCACTCCCTCTTCCTCGGCGAACGGAGGAAGGGCAGGCGGCAGTCCACATGCCATGAGGCATCACATTGCAGCAGCAGTAGCTGCGGCAGCTCAACAATCAGCCCTGATAGACAAGGCAGCCACGCCGGTGACCCATGAGCCGGCCACCTTGGATTTGACCGGATCAAATTCTAATTCCAGCAACCAGGCGCCTTCTAACGCAAGTAGTGGCCAGCCAACCAATCACGAAGTAAATGGCGGCGAATCCAATGGAGCATCGCAGGCAGAGAGCAAGGAGCACATGACGGCTATCAAGGAGGATCCCCTTAAAAGTTCACCACCACCAGTGGCGCTTGAAAAGAAGCCAGCCACCCCAAACGCAGCTCTAGACAAGCCCATTCATCCGGATAGTTCGCCGGAGAACTCTCGGCGTAGTGCCAGCCCGCAGTCGGAGACCAACAACTCGTTGCCAGCGGTCAATGCTACCACAGCAACATCAGGTAAATGCATAGAGGAGACCCCAAAGATTCTAGACTCGGACATGACTGCCACACCCAAGACAGACATAGAGGATGAGAAGCAGCGGACCAGGTTATCGGTATCACCGGCACCAGGTCCGCCCAAGATAATGGCCGCCTCACCAGACACAGTGTCCACCTCTGGCGGGGTGACCTCCACAACCAGTGGCACCACCACACCGCCGGAGGTCAGCAGCAGCACCAATAGCGCCAGCAAGGCGCCGGCCCTGACTAGCGATGAAGTGTCCACCAGTGCCGCCACGGCCACTGCCGAGCCCACCAGATGATGAATAGATCCCCTGGCGGGAGTGGGTCGCTCAGTGGAGCGAATGTTCGCTTAGGTTTAAGTTTTGAAAAGTCGCCTCGGATCGGAACTAGTTAACATCTACCTTCAGTAACATTTAACTAAGCGATAAGCGATAACTTAGTTCTTAGTCACGCATCTTTATTTATACAAGAATTTGTAATGTATTGTCAGCGCCGCTTAGATCCAATTCTAAATGTTTTAATCCTTAGTTATTATTATTATTTCCCTATTTAAATGTGAAGCGTATACTTTTAGAAATGGCCTGAATAAAACATTTTTGTTTACAATTATTTGAATTACACTTATTATTTCGCTTTGGTTTTCTGATCTCGGAAAGGTAAAATTCTAAATTAGTTAACCTGATCATTGCAGATGACAGCAAGCCTCAGCTGGGTGGATTGGTTCGCAGCAACAGCGCGGAGGAGGCCACAGCCTTATGACACCAACTCTTCAGTAATTCCAATAACTAACTAATGAAAAACTACAGCGATATCGGGATGTACTTGCTGTCGGAGCAAGCTCTGCACCAGCAGCGCAAGCGGATGCTTGACGAGTTTCTGAAGCTCTAGGATTATCCTGGATAGGACCAGGAACGGATGGCCATTAAGGCCACCATCTATATAATACAATGTAAATTGCATAACAGATATCAGATATTTGTTTGTTCTCGGTGTTACAATCTAACGTTTACCCAACCAGTTGAATACAATTCTACCGCAATTAGACATTTTGAATTGGTGTAAAAATCGTATCTGCATAAAATGTAAAATATTGTGAAATATTCCAAGTAAAATAATTACTCTCAAATGAAACGTAATCCATAAGAATTTTAGGTACGTACATATACTTGCATGAAACTCTGGATGTAGTTTTCGTGAGAATAATGTTCATCGCACGAGGAAAATTAATGCTAGTTGTAAAGTTAGACTAAAGTTCAGATAAGAAATTTATATATACACAACAGAAACAGAAATTATACAAAACATACTGGGTAGCTATATTTTATTCTTAAATTGCTAATTGCTAATAATTGTGATTTGGAGAGTACGAATAAAAACGGAAAACGTATGAACATGTAACTCGAATACAAAGTGGGGAAAACGGAACTGAAATTTAGATAACAAATCAAATCAAAAACCTAGAGAGATATTCTGGAATGGATTAGTAGTGGACAGCAAAAGGCCGAAATTATTTTTCGAAATTAATCAACTTTTGTATGCCACCCTTTGGCCCTTAAAATATATATATATTTTTTTGTTTGTAATTTCAAATATTTTATACGCAAAACTTGGAGTGCAGAAATCGGGAAACGCATTTGCCACAATCTTCAGAAAACACAACCAGACACAAGCTAGCAAATGGATATGTACCACTAACAAAAGTACTTTGTATCCACCCTATAATTGATGTTTATAGTAAGTAGTCAATACCCTTAAAACCAAGCAAACTCTCAATAATATAGATCTAGTTTTCAATCCCGTTTCTAGTCTTCGCCCCTCTAACTCTTGCCTCCCAGTTTTCCTTTTTATCGTTTGAGATTGCCTAACATTTGACGATACGTGAAGTAATGGTTTATATATATTTTAATGCATAAATCTCGAGCAATCTGTGATATTATAACAAAAAAGAAATTAAAAACCAAACCAAAACTCAAAAAATCATTGCGTATGAGCCTCATTTGAGACCCTATACTATAGATTCAACTCGTGTTCGAAGTAGGGTATCCCGGAAAGTATATATGGACACCGATACGCTTCGACAATTCCGTACAAATTCCGCCATATGCAAGTCGACTTTTCCTTTTGACAAAACTATGTGTATGTACCAGTAAAACTGAAAATGAATATATTTTAATAACTAATCGTAATAGATTCTTGAATGACACACATAACTGAAATCGATTGGCGTGCATCTAGTAACATAACCACAAATGCCATGCGATAGCTAATCAACTACTGCAAAATAGTTTCAAATACAACCTTAACAAATGAAAACAAATCGATCGTAAATTAAATGTACTGTAACTCCCCCTCAATCTTCGTTGTGTGTGTAAACAGAATACAAAGTGTAAAACATTAAACTGTAAGCTAACCGAAACGCAATCGAACCCGAAAATCAAATACAAAAGTTCACAATTACCACAGCTACCGAAACAATATCAATAGACATAAGGAGGAGCGCTCGGATCTGTCAGATCCTTTGGCCCAACAAAATGAGACTCCATATCTACTAACAAAAGATCATAGTGTCAACAGACGAGCGCTTCTTTCTCAGATCTTCACACAACCTCAGCATATAGTTGGGTATATATATATCAACTCACTTGAGCCAACACAATCGCGCAGCAAAATAAATATGTTCGAATGTTCAACCATGTGGCAAACGATATGCGAAACAAACATTTAAACAATATTGTGCAACTTTACATAAGGCATTTATGATTTTATGAAATAAACTCTACTTAAGGATGTACTATGCAACTTATTATTGGGTTGGGCCATAGACAATTTAGTAAAAAAGAGACTTTAATAAAACATAAATATTTAATTAGATTCTATAATTACAAATTATATTTTATCTTAACTAAGCCTTCGCTACCTCGGCTTTCTTAACGTACTTTAGTATCCTCACGATTGTCGAAGGAGTTACTCCTTGAATTCTACTTGCGGCCGCAATCGTCTGTGGCTGAATAAGTGTCAGCTTCTGTCGTTCCTCATTGGACAAGCTCAGTGACTTGGAGAAATAATCAATGTCAGCGGGAATGGACAGACGCTCCTCACGACGCACATCATCTACATCCCGCTGTTGTTCATCTACAAAGAATGAGTACAGAGCCTCGATCTTTAGCCTTTCAGCCAAGTTTCGCTCGCCGCTCAGCCAACTCAGTTCGCTGGGATGGAGCTGGATTAGATGATCCACTGTGATGTTATCCGCGGGAATGCCCAGCATATCGAAGGCAGTTTTCTCCACCGAAGCTTTAGCCTTGGGCAGATCAAGAGCCTGTCGCCAATAGTGGGTGTGCTTCCGTAATCTCCTCAAGGACGCAATTGCCGTCTGTAAGCTCTCTTCTGTTTGCTGAAAATGCTGGTAACGCTGTGGGGACACTAGACCAAAGTCGTAGCCTTTTTTGGTAAGCCGCATGTCAGCATTGTCCGGGCGAAGTGACAGCCGGAACTCTGCCCTGCTAGTGAACATGCGGTATGGTTCGTTGGTGCCCAAAGATGTGAGATCATCGATCAGTACACCTATATAGCCTTCAGTTCGACTAATTGTTAGTTGCTTCCCGCCGTTATGAAGCGTTTTTCCTGCCGCATTAGCTCCAGCTATGATTCCCTGGGCTGCGGCCTCCTCGTAGCCCGTGGTTCCATTAATCTGCCCAGCAAAGAAAAGTCCTGGCACTCGTTTCGTTTCTAGCGTTGGATACAACTCGCGGGGATCTATGAAATCGTACTCCACTCCGTAACCGGGTTGGACAACTTTCGCTTTCTCCAGTCCCTGGATAGCGTGGACCAGCTCTACTTGCTGGTCGTGGGGCAGCGTGCAGGAGATTCCCTGAGGATAAACCAAAGGACTGTCCAGACCCTCTGGCTCTAACCAGACCTGATGAACCTTTGCACCGAAACGTAGGATTTTTGACTCAATTGAGGGGCAGTACCGTGGCCCAGTTATCTCTTCGGTGACATGGCGATTCACGTGAAGATTGTTGCGTACAATGTCGCTGACCTTTGGTGTGGTGTAGGTTAGGTAGCAGGGTAGTTGATCCTTGGCCGGTAACCAAACCTCTTTGTTGAGGAAAGAAAAAGGCATGGGTGGATTATCACCATCGTGTCTTTGCAGCTGTGAGAAATCAACGCTATCCGTTGCTATCCTGGGAGGAGTTCCAGTTTTGAGTCTACCCATTCGAAAACCCAACCTATCGATGGCCTCTCCAAGGGCTTTCGCTGGAGCATCTCCAATTCGTCCTGCTGGACGGACCTCCAGTCCGATGTTTATGTGCGCCCGCAGGAAAGTTCCTGTGGTGAGCACCACAGATCGACTACGCACTACCTCACCGTTGGCCAACAGAACTCCGGCACAGCGTCGAGTTTGGGTATCCTCTTCATCCTCGATCAATAGGTTGTCCACGGCAGCTGCGCGAATCTCTAGGTTGGGGGTGCTGTGCAGTTCCCGCTGCACAGCCTTCTTGTACAATTGCCGATCGATCTGTGCCCTTGGTCCCCAAACGGCCGGTCCGCGTCTCCTGTTGAGCACCTTATAGTGGACTCCAGATACATCACAGCAGCGGGCACATACCCCATCGAGGGCATCTACCTCGCGCATCAGGTGACCCTTGCCAATGCCGCCAAACGAGGGATTGCAGGACATCTCGCCAATGGTTTCCAGTTTGTGGGTGAGCAGCAAAGTGCGAGATCCCATACGAGCGGCTGCAGCCGAGGCTTCTGTGCCAGCATGCCCACCTCCGATGACCACCACATCATAGATCTCGGCACTGGTACTATGAGCATTCCTTTGTGGATGAGAAATCCTTCTTGCCAGGCCGTGAATCACGGCGGTTCGCAGCTGCTGCATTTTTCAAAACAATAACAACAACCGGAATTGCACAACACATGTGTCAGTCAGTCTATCGATAGCTTCAGTTTCTTTATCGATAGGGCTCGAAATAAAAATCAACCGCTAGAAAGCGCCAAAGTTTACATTTTTTAAACGTGTATTCGTATTGATTAAATTATCTTTATGAATAAAACGTACTTTTGTCCTTATACAGTACTCTTATTTTCAAAAAGTATTTCTACCCATTTTGGACCAGCAGAATCGTTTTCAACCTCAAGCCAGCTTTAAATAAATAAATAAATAGTTTGATACACTTAAAGTATTATTGCAAAAACAGCATGTATTTTTCACATTTTGCTTAGCTACAGTTTCCGGTATATTTCCGTTCTATTTATAAACAACTTAGATTAAAAAACAACCGACTAACTATTTAAAATTCATCCATCTCTGCTTTCCGTTTGCGTTTCTTGAGCTTTTGCTTTAGATCAGGCGCTTTGCCACGGACAACAGCCGCCTTCAGACGCTTCGCTACCTTCTTGCGCTCCTGCATGCCAGCCTTTCGCTTGGCTGCCCGTTCCGGATCATGTATCTTCTCCTGGGCCACAACCTTGCGTCTCTCAGCGCGACGAGCCATCAACTTTGTCTGCACCGCATTCCTGAGCTTGTCGTAGACATCGGCTCCGATGCGTTTCCTTAGTCGACTGCCTACACGGAGGGCTTGTTGGCGCAGTTCTGCGTCTACGTTCTGATCCTCCTCTGACATTTCACGAACCAGAGCCTGGAGAAGAGAGGGAGCCAATTGGGATACAGACTCTACACTAAGAAGTGTACACAGAGCCTCTATGAGCGTGAACATAGCTGTCCTCTAAAATTGGAATGTTTAAATTAGTTTATACTCTTCCATATTTATATGGTCATACATACCATACTGGTATCGTGAGGCGCCTTGGCCAATTCCTTGTTGATTAAGAAACGAATATTTCGGAGTAGCCACTTGAGATTAATTTTGTTAATCTGGTCACTCTCCTCAGCATCCTTCTCCTGCTTCAAACTGAACGGAACATCCCTCAGCATCTGTCCGACGTATAACAAAATCTTAGACAACTCGTCGATCATTTCCTGCACAGTCTCTCCAGGTGTGAACTGGGCGCACAGATCCAACACCAGAGATTTGATATCATCTGCCGGTTGTGCATAGATAAAGTACAAGGTCTTCTCAGTTCCTTCTTCTTTCTTAATGCCGGACAGCTGTTGTCCAACGTAAGCGTAATCGAAGTGCGCCAAAATGTGAGTCAGAATTTTGGCTGCATTGCATCGAACCCAGTTATGATCGTGTCCCAGTAGTCGCTGAGAACCATAGGCCAGTTCATCGATAGTGTCAGAAAGTTCAGGATTGCTGAGTAAGGTCTCTCCGCAGTGCTCGAAAATCTTCAACAGGCAGTACTGCAGTTGGATTAACTGATGGTCTGCTCTCCTCTGATGTCGCTCCAAGCGCGATTCATTGTCTTGTTCACCCAGCAAAATTTCTTCATCAGGAAGGGTTTCAATTTTCTTGAAAATAAGAAAATATTTAAAAATCACATGGAATTTAATTGAATTAGTTCAATTACCTTTCGCTTTTTCTTTTTATGCAAATCAGTATCATCCAAATCCACTGAAATATGTCCTGGAGCCCGCACGAATCTTCCGCCCGCATCGGCATCTCCCAAAGTCAAAACATTAACCAGAATGGGAAGAACCACTGGTAATCTTTCTGCAAAGCCAGCCTTTTCTGCCTGGACAAATCTCGACAGAAGAGCAGCAGCCATTTCCCGGACTCCTGGCTTTTGGCTGGACTGTGGCGATGTGAAGAATAGCAGTGTGAGATCCAGAAGGGGTTGACGTTCCAATTTCGTGAGACGACCTATCAGAGCTTCCAGAGCAGCGGCGACGCTACGACGGCACGATGGATCTTCATCGTTAACCAATCGAGTGCCCAGAGAAAGATATAGAAACTCAGACTGCTTCACCAGAATCAGCTGCGGAAACTTGTTGATGATGGAGTGCATAAACTGGATGGCCGACTGACGACCAGCGGTTTGGCTGTAGCACAACTGAACCGACATGAACTTGATCATCTGTTCAACCTTCTGGCGCAGAGTATATTCCATAATATAGGTGAGCAGAATGCCACGACATTCATCTCGAACATAATCTGATGGAGAAATTATCGAAAGATCTCCTAAACGCTTCATCAGATCGTGCAGGGAGCGGTTGTCCACCTTTCGTCCCACTAGTGCCTTGAGCAGAGTAAACACCATGGTCTGGCTGCTACATTCCCCCTCCTGCAACTCCTGCTCGATGTGTAGCAGTAGTTGCTCAATCTGCTCATTGCTGAGTTTGTAATCCTGGCATTTGCGTAGCAGTGCCACCACTGATTTGAAGCTTGCTCTGACCAGCTGGGCATTCTCCTCTTGCCTGGTGGCTCCAAAAGTCGAGAAATTCTTAAGAATCTGGAACATGCAACCCACCACCGGTTGAAGTGCCTCAGTGTTAAGTTCGGAAAGCTCGTACTCTCCTAACCAAATGGCCGTGTAGCACTTTAGGGCATATGTTGTGGTCCTGGCATGATTGCTGCTTAAAGAATCTTTCAGAAGTGGTAAGAGGGGGTGCAGGAAAGGCTGGTAATCCAGATCTGTTAGCTTTTTTCGTTTCAGCACGAAATGTAGGAGCTCTAATCCAAATTCCACCAGAATGTGTGCATTGGCTTGTGCATTGGATTTTACTTGCTTGTTGCCTGTAGCCACACTGCGCCTTCCTGGTGCCGGTTGTAGGATTAGGCAATCAGGACGAGATCTCTTCATAAGGGCCTGCTCCTTTTCTGTGAGCTGACGTTTCTGGGTTCCTGGCAGAAGGTCACTGATGCTCTCCGACATTGTGCCGTATATAAAGATCAGCAGACTTTCCCTTGCGATGTGTGTGTTCTCCACCAATCCACCGACGATTTTGGCAAAGCACTCTTGAATCTTTTGCGTAACTTTACGGGAGTGCGATCGAGCCAAATGCTCCTTGAATGGCAAAAGCAGATCCAGCAAACAGTTGTCTCGAATGTAACGAGCGGCTATGTGAAGCGTGAGATAACTTTTTGCACTCGGCTTGGCTTCTGGCGTGTGTGACACAATTTTGTCGACCTCCTTCTCGGCACTCACATCGCCGAAGATGTCATTCAGAGCAACTTCCAGCAGATTCTGCAGGCACTTTTCAATGTGGTCAGGCTTTAGATCCCCCTTCAAAGCATCCAAAACGCCATGAAGAGTCACGGAGAGAACGTGCACCTGGAATCCTCGTGTGAGTAGAGATTGCAACTGCTCTAACAGCATTCCCAAGTAGCTGCCACCCAAGGTGATCATAATCTTCTTGAGAATGTCACGGGTGAGCATTCGAACGGATTTCAGAGGGGATCGTAGGAAGGTACACACCTTCATGAAGATTCCTAGAGGAAATTAAATTGTAAATGGTGATATCATACATTCCAGATGTTAGGGATTACACATACCAGGCAGACTGTTATCCAACAATTCCAAAGGAAGCTTTTGCAGAAGTTTTACCATAGCCAGGGCAATAGGCACTCGCTGGATCTCCTCTTCTTCGCGTTCGTAGCTCAGGCGTCGACGGTTTACCTTGTGTTTGGTGTCGTAGTTAGTTTTTTCAGTGATTGAACGGTTAAGTGTTGGAAGCAACACTGTGGTAATGGTGGCCATGACCTTTTTGGCGGCGTTGGGCGCTAGCAGTTGAGTGCGCTGCTGTTCCACCACCGGTTCCGTTGTTTCTCCTTCTTCAAAATCAATAAAGTCTGATTGATCTTCTTCTTTTCCCAGGGGTTTCTCTTCGGCATCAGCATCTTCTTCCGTCTTAAGTTCTTGCGACTCCTCAGCAGGTTCCTTTTCCTCAACTTCCTCAGACAGTTTTTCCTTGAGCTTGGCAAGCGTAGCTAGATCCGTTTGCGCCTGGGTCAAATCAAAGTGAAAAGCGTCTAGAATGCGTACTACTAGTCGGACGCATTGCTTCTGCTGACCCTGGGCGTGTCTTAGTTTTTGGAGATAGTATCGGAGTACTGCATGGTATTGCGTCCAGGGTAGGAACTCACTCATGACTCCCACTGCTTCGATGGCGGCATCCACGAGTGTGTGTTTGCCAGAGTGCTTTTCGTTCATCAGATAACGTGTCGCCAGCGGTAGCAGGAATTGTGTAAGGGTACGGGCGCAAGGCGGAGCCTGTCGCCAAGATCCTCCCGAAATGTTCACCAGTCGCTGCAGGGCTCGGCCGTGACGCTGCGTCTGCAAATGAAGCGTGTTTTCAAAGAAGTCCACCTCCAGGTCGTGCTTATCAGTAAGAGGTGAGAGATCCTTCAGGATCTCGTGTGCAGCTGGACATTGTCGTGCAAGTTCTCCAAGTAAGCCGAGGGCCTCGCTTCTGGCGTGCTCGTGCTTTTCATCTCTAATGCAGCGCTGCAGTAAGGGAAGCAGCGTTTCTTCCAGCCAGAAATGCATGTCCTCCTTCACCTCCAGTTGCAAAGTTATCAGGGGAAGCAATGGCTTTAGCAGTTCTCCTATGTTTACTCTCATTCCCAAATCCGAATCGTTGCGGAGCATATAAAAGCAGTTGTAGACCACTAGAATTCCAAGTTGCAAGTCTATCTTCTTGTCTTTTTTCTCCACCATCTGCTTAAGCTCCGAAAGTCCTTCGAGACGTTTATCATAGTCCGGTTGCTCCAGCCACCTTTTGTCCCAGGCATTCAAGAGCAGGATAATCCTCACCCACTCCCGCAAGGATACGGCTGTGGGGACTAGTTCAGAGTTTTGTTTCGCCTCCTTATGAAGTCTTTTCGCCATATCAGCCAAGATTTCGCAAAGTAGTTTTCTCGCAGGCAGCACATTGACCTGTTCGAACAGCGGAGCCAACGGACGAACATAATCCTGAGGTTTGGGCACGCGCTTTAGTAGATTGGTCAAAGTAGTGACTAACTGAACGACTGTCTCCGAACCAGCAGAAGCCGACTGCTTGGTGAATATGGGCAGAAGCACCTGTAAGAGTAGTTCACAAGTATCTGGCTCCTCCACATGCGATGTAATAAGGGTAAGGATATTAAGTTCTCGCTTATCAAGTGTCTGCTTGCCGGCCTTCTTGTGGCGCCAACTGTTTTGCAGTTGTTGTAGAATAGTTGGGATGTGTGGATGCACAATAGATAAGGCCTCGGTTCCGAACTCCTCTGTTGCAGCCGATTCCAATAGGTGTTCTACTACCTGCAGAAGCGACCGCTTGACATTCGGTTTGGCTTTATCGTTCAGTAACAAGGCCATCAGATGATCCATTATAGGTTGCTTATCGTCAGGAGGACTCTTTTTTAACCATTTCTGGTAGCGTGGTTCTGCGCCCCACAAAAGAAGCAGCTTTAGCATTGGGGTTGGTGTGTGAATAGAGTCCTGCGAGAGCCGAGCGATACCTGGCCAAAGGTACACATCACATATAGCATTCATCTCGGTCTCCTGCCACAGCTCCTCCATATCAACCAGCTGGCCGAAATAGTTCACCAGTGTCTGCAGACCTGAGTGCTTCACATTCTTGTATGCAGCTACTAATTTCCCCTCTCCATTGATAACTTCCTGGGCAACACTGCCCACGAGAAGAAGCAATTTAAGAACATAGCACTGGAAGTCAGCTGTTAGTTTGCCGGCAAACTCCTTCCGAATGAGCTCCAGTAGATTGACGATCCTCTGCAGCTGCTTGGCTGCAATCACCGCTGACGGATCAAATGAGTCTCTAGCAAATTTAGCAACTTCGTTCACCGGTTTATCGGTGAAGGCAGTAAACCTTCCGAAGGCCATTTTCAGAAAGTCCATAATCTCCGACTCCTCTAGTTGGCCCAAAAAACGAAGAATCAAAGTTTTCCTCAGCTGAGCACTTAATTGCTTTTGGACACCCTTGGTCAACATTTTGCCGTAAAGCACACGTAGCATAAAGGGCATCAGTTCCGATCTTTGCTGTGCTGGAATGCTGGCCAGTTCAAAGCCACTGAGCGATGTTTTGAACTTTTCCTCATCAATGAGACCCGAGAGCTGATCCTTCTGCTGCACTAGAGCCGCTGGTTGTTTGTATGCCGCGAGGCAGTCCAAGGCCAACTTCTGCAACTGGGAATTCGGACCAGCTAGAAGTTCCAGATAAAAGTCGTGCATTTCCGCCTGCCGATGCAGAGCTTTGGGATTTGGCTGAGAGACAAAACAGGCCAGTTTCAACTGCAATGTTTGTAGTATGAACTTGGTATGGGCATTTTGTGTTCTTCTTTTCTGACGGCCTCTGTGTTCTGGCTTGCTTTCATTTTCATCATCGTCCTCGGCATCAATTTCAACAGCTAAGAAAATTAAGAAATTTATAAAATTACTTATCACAAAAATTGTAGAATAACTTACCTGTCGCCTCGTTCACGTTCCAAGTATGTTCCGATTTCTCCAACTGAGACCGGTACTCTTTCTCCAAAAATTGCAAAAATAATCTCACTAAGTCAGCGTTCTTCACTTCTGCAAGAGTTCCCAGCTTGGGCAGGCTTTGCCATAGAAGTTGACGATAGTTGAGGGCCTGCTGAAGAGTCAATTGCTGCTCCCCGGCCAGAGGAAGGAGCATAGTTAACGCCGCTGATTGATAGTGCCGTTGATATGGCTCTTGCAGTATCGTAACCTCCTTTTTGTAATCTATGCAGGCGACAGTCTCTACTAATTTTGCCTTGAACAGGTTCCAGAACTCATCTGCTGTCATAGTTTTGGCGTATGCAGCCAGGAGCTGTTGAACAGGCGCCCAGACAAACTTGAAGTTATTGTAGAGCAATCCGAGCAACAGGCTTACAGCGTGCTCTTTGAAATGTGGCAACTGGGAGAACTGTTTAAACTGAGCAGATGCTGGTTCTAGTTGCTGTAACTGGAGGAGCAGCTCACGATAGTTGTGTACAGTGGGTTCGATACACGTTGCGGCATAAAAGTAGGAGTACGGATTGGATTTGTTCGAAGAGTTCAGCACATCCAAGCAGTGGGCGGCTAAGCGTCTATATAGCGTCACAGGTTGGCTTAATAGGCTGGAAATCGAGAAAAGTAATTCTTCCGAAGTGGAAAGATCGTTCTTGGGGGTTTCAAGAAGGACTAGTTGCAAACACGCCAATGCACGAAGGTCCTTTCCCAGCTCGGGAATAAGATAATCAGTAATACTAGATCTTAGACCATTTGGCAACTTAAACTTGAGCAAGGCATAAGTTTGAAGTATCAAAAGAAGCTGGGTAAAATCCTTTTCGTTATCATTTAAAAACTTTTGAAGAACTGCCTTTAATATGTCCTCCAAAGGCTGTTTGTTAAATCCTCTCAAGTTAGGTACCAGGACTAAAAGAAGATGATGATCCTCTTTACTTAGGTCCAACTTTAGGAGCTCTTGCTCTACGATCTTGATGGTCTCCTTTTGCTTTAGCTGCATGGGATATGCCACCCATTGAGCAAGCGAATTGCCATCCACTTGCAGTGGTCTTTTATGCTGAACAATGCGAGCTAGGAGTTCTAGCGCTCTTGTTTGCCTCTGCTCCTCATAGTATCCAATGACATTGGGCAAAACCAGAATCTCAAACTGTGGATAGTCCAGTAGCTGCAGAATGGCGTCTTCATACACGGAGACATGTGAACGTGTTATGCTAAGAAGTTTCTGCAGCAGACGACTGGCATCCAGTTGGGTGAGTTGAGTATGCTGAGCTTTTAGCAAACTGGTAATCAAGGTTGTTAAGGGGTGGAGAGAGTCCGCATCCCGCTCCAATAGCTTCAGCAGAGTGGCAACCACTAGTGGAAGCTCGGAAACATAGCGTCCATCTTTGTGAGTGACCAGGGGAAGCATTAGATCAATCAGCCTCAGTAAATTGGCACTATCACTGCTAGCAGCTAAACATAGTTTTTGCCACAGTATGCTGCTTTGATCCGAATGCAGGAAGTTGAGCAATAGTCCCAAGGAATACTCTACAATATCACCCAGAAGTTCTGTCTGGGCTTTTGTGTGAGTCGAAGCCTTGTTGACCAGCACCTCCAAGACGTGGGCGAAGATCTCCGATGCCGAGTTGTGCAGCTGCCCGTTGACGCCGCGCAGAATTTCGTATATGAGCCGGCCGCAACCATGAACGCTTTCCACCTGCTCCCGCAGCACAGTCTGCAGGACATAGGAAAGGAAACGGGGGAAGTCCCGGACATCTCGGGCTATGTATGCAAAACATTCTACAGCAAAATTAGTCACATGTTCTGCGTAGTGCTGCTCATCCAGGAGCGGTAGAATAGCATTAAATACCACACCAATGTTTCGTTTTAAATACGGCTTGAGGGTCTTGAACAGGTGCGCCAGACAGATAAGTGTCCACTCTAGCTGCTCCGCATCTTGGGTATTCAGCAAGCAGATCAGACGGTCTAGCACGCGCTGAAAGTACGGGTAGAACTCTTCGCGAAGATCCCTGGCCAGGACGTAGAGCAACTCCAGCAACGGCTGCTGGGACAGGTTCGTGGCGGTGGACAGACGCTCGAGAAGAAGATCCACCACGAAGTCCTTCTGATGCAACAATTGCGGTAAAGTGACTATCTTGCGACATCGCTTGCTGAAGTAGTTGTACTCCTCGGTGAGATTGAGTACGTTCCATTTCTGAATTGTCTGTTGGAAGTAAGTGGCATTCTCCTCTTCTTCAAGCTCCTCGTTCCTGTGGCCGATGTGGTAGAGGGCCAAGTGTCGCAGGTCAATCTCATTAACCCGATCTCCGAAAGATTTGAACTGCGTGAAAAAATTATATGAGTCGGGGCTCCAAAAACGTGAGACTTCTGGGGACACTCACTCGAAATGTATTGGTGTCTTTTGTTTTTTCCGCTAAAGATGCCATGTTTTTATATTTAAGACTTTATGTCCGATCACTTCATTTGCACTTAGCTGCTTTAATTTACGGAAAAAACACTTTTGTTTACGGACACCTTTTATTCAAATGCAACACGTGCAAAACATATTTACGCACAAGTATCGATTGGCAGTCGGCGATTTCCCAAGTTGAAAACATATGTTCCCTTAAAAATATCGATAGTATCGGATATCGGATAAGACTGGGCGCACTATTCAAATTTCTTACGATAAATACGAGGGCAGTCCGATAAGTACGTAGCCTCGCCGCCTCGCAAGAGAAATTCACTATCGGGTAGTACATTCTCGTAGACGGCTGCTGTCAAAATTTCAGCCGAATCGGACTCGTAGTTTTGTTTTGATTGCGGACGTGTCCGCGGAAACGGCTAACACGGAGAATCACCCGACAAAAACCGACGATCTCGTATTGGCAAGCCGCCGATTGAAGATACGCGAGATAGCTGAGACAGTAGGCATCTCAAAAGACCGCGTGGGTCATATCCTGCATGAGATTTTGGGCATGAGAAAGCTGTCGGCGCGATGGGTTCCGCGTTTGCTCACTCCGGACAACAAATGCAACCGTAAGACCACTTCATAGCAGTGTTTAAGGAGTTTCTTCCTCCCTAGCCACGGCCAAATTGGTCGAATTGGGCTAGGAACAGCTACCCCATCCACCATATTCTTCAGATTTGGCCCCGTGTGACTTCTTTTTGTTTCCAAACTTGAAAAAGTCGGTACTTTTTGGAAATTTTCGTTTTTCTTTTGGAGGCTAAGTACCACCCTCGTATAAAATAAAAAAGTAATTTACTTAAAAAAATTACAATTTTTAATTTTACTTATTGTGAAATGTATTCTTTTAAGGCTGAATTCTAAGCCGAGAAATTAAAAATGCTAAATAAGCGACATATTTTTATTTTTGAACTAAAAATATTATATATCACATTTAAACATAAAACATAAAAGACTTTGAATGATATGGCACACGGAAAAAAAAACAAATTAAAACACTAGGCAGACTCCTGGGACTGGAGGTAGTTGAAAACCGTTCCGCGCTCCACGTGTCGCTTGCTGTTCTCCTGATTCAAGCCGTCTCCGGTACCAGAAAATTCTTCAATTGGTCCAAATCCTCCACCGCCAGGAGTTTTCATGGCAAAAGTGTCCTGCAAAAGATCTTTTAGTACCAAAAAGCGTAAACTAATCATAGCAAAACATACCCCAGCTTCCACATCAATGCAGGTTTTACCAGCCAAAGCAATCACTCGACCATCTCGCTTGACCACCAAATTGCGACCACTTTTGGCCGATTCTCCGCCAGCAAGACCGTAGGGTTGGAGGGTTCGTCGCTCCGTCAGGACGGATAGGGTCACAGGTTTACGGAAAAGCAAATTCCGCTCCACACCCTCACCGCCGTTGAATTTCCCCCGTCCACCAGAGTCATCCGTGCGTAGGCAGAATCTTTTTAAAATCATAGGATAGCGTAGCTCTAGGATTTCCGGATCGGTTATGCGGGTGTTGGTCATATGGGTATGCACTCCCCCGGCTCCATGCCATCCGGGTCCGGCTCCAGCTCCTCCGGCCACGGTCTCATAGTATCCCCAAGTTTCATCGCCGATGGTAATGTTGTTCATGCATCCCTGTGAGGCGGCACAGACTCCGAAAGCCTTTAACACCGTGTCCACGATGCGCTGCGATGTCTGCACATTTCCACCAACGACGGCGGCACCCTCAGACGGATCCAGTATGGAGTTCTTCGGAATGATCACCTGGATGGGAGCCAGACAGCCCTGGTTAAGGGGCACATCATGGCCCACCATGCATCGCAGGCAGTAGATCAGTGCGGACAAGGTGATTGCTCGCGGGGCATTACAATTTCCCCAGACTTCCACACCTGATCCGGTGAAGTCGCACAGAGCTGATCCCTGTTCTGCATCGATGGTCACCTTAAGGGCGATGGGAGAGCCGTCGTCCATAAACTCCTTTGCCTCTAGCACCGTGGATCCAGTGCGTTCCAGCGTATCCCGACCAATTTGACGCAACATATCACGAACCGCCAATTCGGCATTCTTCTGGATGTGCGACATGTAGGCCTGCACCACGTCCAATCCGTAGCTGTCAATCAGTTCCGCCACCAGCTGTATGCCCTTGTGATTGGCTGCAATTTGAGCCTTCAAATCCGACAAGTTGTCGCTGAGGTTCCGGGTGCCTACCGCTCCCTTTGCAGCGGTAGGCGTGGTAAGCTGTTGGATTATTTGTTGCTCCTGGAACAGGCCGTTCTCCACGATGAGGAAGGACTTAAAGGCAGCACCTTCCTGTGCTAACGAGGTGGAATGCGGTGGCATGGACCCCGGAGTAATGCCGCCGATATCGGCATGGTGACCTCTGGAAGCCACAAAGAAAACAGGCCTCGGATGATTCCTAAAAAAATTTTGGATCAATTATAACAACATGTATCTTAGTACCTAAAAGCACCAAAAACTCACTCATAAAAAACTGGCGTAATGACCGTCAAATCGGGCAAATGAGATCCTCCTGCCGAGGGATGGTTAGCCAGTATGACATCGCCGTTCTTCAGGGTTTCCCCTCTCACTCTCAGCTGGTACTGGACAGTTTCCTGCATGGCTCCAAGATGAACAGGAATGTGGGGAGCATTGCTTACCAAGCCGCCATCCGGTCCGAAAAGAGCACACGAAAAGTCCAAACGTTCCTTGATATTTGTTGAAATCGAAGTACGCTGAAGTACTCTGCCCATTTGCTCGGCGATGCTCATAAAACGGTGGCTAAATATGCTCAGATGCACTGGATCCAAGTCTGCATTAATGCCATGTTTTCCACCCGTCTTGACGTCCATGATAAGGTCCCCGAACTGAGTAACTTGGACACTGCACTCTGGCTCGACGACTATGGTTGAGAGCTGATCTATAAGCACAGCTGGTCCAGTAATCCTATGACCGGCCAGAAGGTTCTTGGTCAGGTAAATCGGTGCGTCAAAGCTGCCCTGGTCGAAGTGAAGACGACACTGTGAATTCGATTCAGCTGGGGGTGTAACTTCAGAGGCATTTTGAACTTTAGACTCCGGTGGTGTGTCGTTCTTGCCCAATCCTCGAATGCGAATGTCGTCCACAATGATACGTCTGTTTTGCAATACGAAACCAAATTCTGTGCGATAGCGCTCCAAGAAGGTGGCATTGAAATCCCCGTATGCTGCTAAAAGAGGATTTGAAGCCGAGGACTGTTTTCCAGTTGCCGGAGCAACCATCAAAGCGCCATCGGTGCCTTCGTACCGTAAATGCAGAAAGGGCTCCAGTTCAATCCGTTTGAATCCCTGTTCAGCTAACTGGTCGTGACATTGCTGCGACAAGGCATCTAATCGCTCCTTTAGCTGCTTGGCATTTGCATCACTAAACTCCAGGCCATTTGGCTCCTGAACCTCTTGGACCACATCAGCCAGGGCCATTCCATAGGCGGAAAGTATTCCAGCGTACTTGTGAACTACAACCTGAACGAAGTAGTAAGTTTTTGATCAATCAAATAGTTATTAAAAATAAAGTAAGTGCTAATTTAAGTTTTATTTTGGAATCTGTAAGCTTCACCTACCTTGGCAATCCCCAAGTTCCGAGCAATGGCACAGGCGTGCTGGCCACCAGCTCCTCCAAAGCAGGAGAGTACATGATTAGCTGTATCCAATCCTCGTGATTGAGTCAACGCTCGAATAGGTCGACACATAGTTTCATTGGCCACTCGAATGAATCCCAAAGCCACTTCCTCAACACTCAAGACCCGATTATCTCCGGAAGCCTTCAAATGCTCGTTGATCTCTGTCTGCAACTCTACGAATTTACTTCTGGCGATCTCATGATCCAGCGGTTCGTTCTCCTTCGGACCAAAGATCTTGGGGAAGAACTGCGGCAGAATGCGACCCAGTATAAGATTGGCATCGGTGACTGTCAGCGGGCCTCCCTTCTTGTAGCAAGCAGGTCCCGGATGAGATCCTGCTGATTCCGGACCCACCACAAATATGCCGGATCGAAAGAACAGCCTTGATCCGCCACCTGCAGCTACGGTATTGATGTCTAACTGAGGAGCCTGGATAGTTACTCCAGCCGTGGTACTTTCGATCACGTGTTCATACGTTCCGGCATAGCGGGACACATCTGTCGAGGTACCGCCCATATCGAAACCGATAAGTGGTAGATCTGTTTCCCGGGCTCCTGTCAAAGCGTATCCTACAACTCCACCCGCTGGACCGGAAAGAATGGCACGCGCTCCACGAAAGTTCTCCATATTGGTCAGGCCTCCATCGGATTGCATGAAGAGCACATCTACACCTTCCAATTGCTTGTCAAAACCAGATTTAAAACTGAAGAATTACAAAAGATATTCGAATTAATATCTTAATCCAAAATAGTAAATTTAGCGTTCAGGAGTTCCCAATATTTTAGCAGCCACTGTAGGCAGGCTTTTGTTTTCATACCCTTCAGATTCGAGAAAACGGGTATGTTCTGATAAGATAGGGGTAAGAAACAGAAATAATCAAATAAAACCTAAACAAATCTAAAAATATTATTTTAATAAAAAAAACCCAATTAAGCTGCTTCTACTTAACTATTTTAAAAAGCTTTCTCCAATGTATTTGAGTTTTATATGTTCTGATACTATTAAGGGGTATCTATAGACCAGTACAATCACATAAGTTATATCTCTTGTTATTCTCGATTTGTTTACTTTACGTAACCCTATCTCAGCTTTGAATGTTTGCTAACTTTGTTTTATTTTTCGCTTTCAGTCTGACTACTAGCTTATCTTTATGGTGACTCTCTAAAAAATATGTTTGGGCCCGAAAAGAGCTGGGTCATTCGGCTAATTTACAAACCAGAGATTAGATGCACTCACCTGGCCAAGTAGCGATCCACATGGGGTGTCAGGTAGGCCTCCGCACAGGCGGTATAGCCACGGGCCACCACCCGACACATGGGCATCGCCTGGTGGGATAGAGTTACATGGCTGAATCCTAGCTCCCGGGCAATCGCTCCCACCCGGAGTTCGTGTTCCGGACAAGCGTAGCTGTGGGCCAATACCACGGAAACAGAAGAGACACCCTGGTTTCGGGCGGCGGAGAGAGATTCTCGTACGGCCACCTCATCCACTGGGCGAACCTCCAGATACTTGGTGCCGGCCACACCCTCCAGCACCTTCCAGCTGTGATCTGTATTGATATTCTATATAGCAATTGAGGTTGGCATTATAGAGCACCTTGACTTACTCAGCTCACACCGCTCAGCTTGCTCTGGAACAATGCGGCAGTCTACCTCGACTACGGATTTATACAGATTCGCAGGCTTGCGAATATTAAGATCAAAGATCTTTGGCCTCGCTTGGTTGCCAATGTAGAGCAGATCCCGGAAACCACTGTTCACCACCAAAACCACTGGATCTCCCTTACGCTCCAATAGAGCATTGGTCGCCACGGTGGTGCCCATGCGAACCCATCCAATTTTTGAGGTGTCTACCAAACCACTGGCTGCCAAATCCTCCCCGGTCTCCTCTTTAAGAATCCGGCGGATGCCCTCGCGTGGGGCATCGCTATAACGTTCCGGATCTTCGGAGAGCAGTTTCATAGTGCGGACTTTTCCGCCGGGACAGATGCACAATACATCCGTGAAGGTGCCTCCGCGATCGATGGCGAAACAGTATTTGTTGCCCGACATTCTGTTCTTTGTTTTGTTTCTTGGCGATGGAGTGGAAAAATAAGACTGAGCGGCCAACAAGTGCCACATGCCGTTTATATACAGGTGGCTGATAATATAGTATATATGTACATATGCCGATCTCTGCTCTCTGAAAGCTCTAAAAAGCTTTCTCAGTCGTGATCAGCTGATTAAGAATGCCAGAGAGGAAATAAGAGTGGGCGAGAAAACAGAGCATAGATTTCACGAAGTTTAGCTCCAAAAGTTTTAGGAACAATAAAAATAATTTGAGTATATTTTAAAAAATATTTATAACTTATATTTTTCGCAACCGTTTCTGCATTTTATACTAAATTTCTTAAATTGTTTTCTTTTACCTATAATAAAGGCTATTGATCCTGGAAACCAAGCAATAGTGGTTATTCCTGTTTAATAATTAACATTTAAATGCTTTCAATCTTTTCAACTCGGCGAGAAATAAATCACAGAAATTGAGTTACTTTTTATTATTTGTAGGTGTTTAAAAATACTTTCAATCATAAAGATTTTATAATAGTATGGCTCTTTAGGAGAATATTATTTATAAAGTCGTGAAAACATCTAAAATGTATTTTGACAAGTCAAGAACTATTGACTGATATTCAGATACACCCTCCGAAACTGACTTTTTTAAAGAAATTTGGACATTTAATTATTTCTGGCCATGAACATAGTATTTATGGGCGATACTAACAACGCTCCTTAAAAACAGCGTAGAGTAGTCATTGAAAAAGTATTTATTGTCTAATTAAATATACAATACTTGCCTGTAGTTTAATGCCTTTTTTATCCTGCCACAAAAGAACCCATTTACCGTCAATAATTTCACATATCATCCGCCAGCGTAGTTTGTTCCAATTCGAACTTATTGAGCGAAAACGCTAAAATTTGCCCGTTTCATTGATGGCCCCCGCAACTCATAAATATATGCAAATGCATGTTTTATCTGTTTTTTACTTGGCAGCAATGAAATTTGATGACTTATTAAACGAGGCCATAAAGAGCGCATTCCGGACGGAATGCTTGTAAATACGGCGTATGCTACATGCCGGCAAGTCAGTGTCAATATCACGGAATCGGCCTTTGGGCGCAATTGTTTGCAGAAAGGCGGCGTATCAATTTGAGTCGATTTGCGATTTCGATTGCGACTCCCAGCGGAACCGTTCAGATTGTTTCTCTCTTTCTTGGCACCGTTATGACCCCTAATGCCCATGACCCCTGACCCCGGACCAACCGAATGAGTGAAGTGACAGTGGGAGTTGCAGGTTGGTTTATGTGAGAACATTGATGGCATTTTTACGAGCCATTTTGCCAGTTCTACACGCCGAAAACACAGCTCCACAAATTGCCTAGAGTTTTCTGTAAACATGGTGTTCGGGCTGAAACGGATCTTGAAATGGAAAGGGAAGTGGTGGCAAAGCAGGAGGAAGAAAGCGGACAAGGAGGAATTGCAGCAGACGGAGAATGAAATGTGGCTGGAGTACTACGGCCCATATCTGCACATCTGGCCATTTCGAGAGCTCTGCGCCAGACTGGAGGCGAATGTCTCCCAGGTGAGATAAGGAAAATCTCGATTACATCAGATATATAACCATTTAAGCATCCACAGGGTCTAACCTCAGAGGCGGCGGGCATCAGGCTGGCCCGGAATGGTAAGAATGTTCTACCGCTTCCTCTTAAGCAGGATGTGCGCCCTTGTAAGTTCTTAAAGGACTGCTTCAGCGTCTTGGGCATCTTCATACTCCTGAGTTCCATCGCCTGTTTTGCAATTTACTACATATTTGAGATTAACTTTGTTGTCGAAGGAAAAGTGGACCCGGAGTTTCTAGTCGCCGGCATCATCCTTCTCCTCTTTTTCTTTCTCGCAGGACTCATGCTCCATCTGCAGGGTGATGATAACGAGGAAATGTTCGTGACTTTCGACGAATTGATGCCCATGTACTGCACTGTGATAAGGGATGGGGAAAAAGAGATCATCCTTACCCAGGACGTGGTTATTGGCGATATCTTGCCCATCAGCTATGGTCAGCGACTGCCAGCCGATCTGCGATTCTATAGTGCCTCCGGGTTGGAGGTTAATAACGTGGCTTTGACGGGTTATTCAAAGCCAGTGCAGATCACTCCGTTGGCTTATGAGGGACGGCAGAGATATTCCCGAGTTGAATACATAATCTAATAATCTTGGTTCCTTTATCTAAATTTTTACTTTTTGTTCTTCAGAAAAGGTGTTAATACTGTAACTGTAATTTTAAACATTAGGATTTTATTAGATTTTAGTTTATATTTCTTCGGTAATTATGTATTACGCTTTTAGAGTGATGTTCAGTTTATATTTCTTATGGCAAAACAAAGCTGTCAAAGTGACATTATAGAATTAAAACTGCTTAGAAATGACTTCCAAATCCCTATCAAAATGGAGTTCCGGCAACGTGGGCTTTGCCTGCAGTCATGCGATCAAGGGTTATGGCTATGGGATGGCCATTGCCTGTGGAAAGGATACTGATGTTGGAATGATGACGGCACTCAGCTTCAAGGAGCGACCTCAGACTCGTGTGGAAAGACATCAGACACAAGTTTGTAATATTCGGGATTCCAAAAAGGCTACCTCTTACCCTTTATCCTTTTAGATCGTTTACTATATGATTTTCGTGGCCATATTCGTGTTTATCCTGCTGCTATTCACAACCGGACTTGAGCGGGGTGAAATCGTGTATGAAGTCAATCTTTCACTACTGGTTGGGCTGACACCCATTTATCTGCCATTTATCCTATACTGGGGCATGAAAAGAGCGAAAAACGAAATGAAGAAGAAGCAGTGCCATGTGAGGAACCTTCGCAGCACCACCACAGTGGGCCTCACCACCGTTATTGTCACCGATTTAGTAGGCACCATGACCAAGCAACGGATGCGAGTTTCGGAGATCTTTGTGGACATGGGACTGCTTAGCGTCGATGACTTGGATCGGAATGCATTGGGACCTCGCTTTATTGAGCTGATCCGAGCCTCAGTTCTTTGCAATGATGCGGTCATCTGTCCAGGGAGCATTGGTGTGCCCAAAATGCAGAAGGATATGTACGGAAATATCCTAGATATCGCCCTACTTAAGTTTGGTCTTTCAGTCTTGCCAAATATTGATCAGCTTCGACGCGATCACGAGAAGGTGGCCAATAAACAATATACCAGTGCGGATAAAGTCCAAGTGACGGTGCACAGGACTCGCGATGCTGAGGGACAGCTGAAGCTCATCATGCTGATGAAGGGCCATTGCGATGTGGTGCTCCGTCGATGCTCCACATTCGTCATTCGTGACGAGGAGCTACCGTTGGATGATCAGCTGCAGGATATTATACTTACCCTGGCGGATGGGTTATTGGAGGCGGGTCGCCACGTCCGTGCCTTTGCCTATAAGGAGCTGAGCAATGAGATTGAGTTCCGTCGCTTTTCCCAGGTTAACACAAACACGGGATTGGAAAACGCAGAGTATAAGTTCCGGGACTATCTGGCGGTGGATACCTTCTCCCTACGGTTTCTGGGCATGATTGCCACAAACAATCCGCATAGGAGCACCATTCCCAAGGCAGTTATTCGATGCAGATCGGCGGGCATTAAGTTAATTCTGGTCAGTCGACGCAAACGCAAACTAGTCAAGTCTCTTGCTATGGATGTGGGCATCATTTCGGAGCCCTGGGATATTTTAAAGAATCAGACCATAGGCACCCCAAGCACCATAGATATAGTGGATATGTCTCAGTTCGCCAAAGAGAAGCCACATCACCAGCAATGGCACATCGAACAACTGTTGATGGCTCAACGGGATTTGGTGTGCTCTGAAACGAGCACGGAGCAGCACCACTGGATTGTGGATGCATGTCGTCGCATGGGAGCTGTGGTTTCCGTCGTTGGAGGAACCCTCCATGACACGCCCGCCATGCGTAGCGGTCATGTGGGCGTGGCCAAGTACGGATGTGCAGCCATGTGCGAGGCCAGTGCAGACCTCATCCTGCTTGACCGCTCCTTTGCTACTTTGGTCAGTGCTGTTCACGATAGTCGGTGGCTGTTCGAGAACCTTAAGAAGGCTCTGGCCTATTGCCTGGCCACCAACACGACCATCCTACTGATGTACTTCAGCTTCTTCATACTCCGGATTCCCTTTCAAATGCACATTATGGATGCACTCGCCCTGGCCTTCCTTATAAACTTGGTAAGTATGTTGGCTTTCACAAATTTGGCTGGCCAAACTGAATTTTCCCACAGCTACCTGCCATGACCATAATTTATGAGCCCCCAGAGGAGAAACTAATGCTTCAGATGCCCAAAGTGTACGATGACTTCCTGCTCAATAGTCGGTAGGTTAATATTCACAAAATATTAGTAAAGGAGTTTCCTAAATTTATAACAAGGCAATTAAAGCGACTGTTTATGTATACATAAAGCACATATCTGCATGAACATAAAGTTGGTTAATAAATTCCCAGGCAATGTTTCCTTAACAAACGTAAACTTTCAAAGGACGAAACTCTTTCTCTTGAGAATTTTAGAAAAACACAATAGCTTAACAAGGAAATATGCTTCTATTCTAAATTAATTTGCTCACGTTTTCATGTTTTGCCAAAAATATCCTGTAGACTACTTTTTGTGTCGCACATCCTTGTGGGGACTATCGAAGCCGCCGCTGTTTTCATGACCTACTTCGTGTTCATGGCTGACAAGGGATTCATGCCCAGGACGTTGGTGGGCCAGCATATCACGTGGCACGACGACACGCTCCTCGACATTCCCGACTCTTTCGGCCAGGAATGGGTAGCGATAACTACTTATATATTATTCCAGCAATAGCCCAAGCCCAATTCCTATTCTCCCGCAGAACAGTGCAGCCCGAGAGCAGCTGGAGTGCCAAATGTCCTCTCTCTGCCTGATGAGCCTCATCACGATGCAGTGCACCAACCTGGTGTTGACCAAGACCGGACGTGCCAATCTCCTGGCCCACGGCTTCCAAAACCGGGGGCTAAGTCTGGCGGTCGTCTATTTGATTTGCCTCTGCATTGGGATGTGCCACCTGGACACCATTGTTTGCCTGCGACTGGACGGAACCAACGAACTACAGTGGGTGTTTCTGTGAGTTTGACCTCTGCACTGTGACATTGTTGCCTTATTGTTTCAGCCTTGGCTCCTTCCTCTGGACCATCTGCCCATTCGTGGTTCTACTGGTGTTTCTTGAAACAACTCGCAGATATTTCCTCCGACTTTTCCCGGACAGTTGGCTCGAGCGGGCCACTATGTACTGACCATAAAGATGTTATGGCCCGACGGAGAAATAATACAAATATCATTATACACTTTGCATTAAAAGCTCCATTAATGAAAGCCAATATAAGCATACTTTTTAGATTTTTAAAACGGAATAATCAAGTGTCAGTTCACTTAACTGAGTCATAATAATAATCACAGCACTGCACCAGAAATGATTTAGAAATCCTTTTCGTGTGTTCAAATGAATGGAATTTTCCTCGTCTGGGTGTTGCATTAAACTTTCCACTTTTATAGTGCATCCATCCGTTTATATCTTTCTCACCTGAGCTGTTTTGTGCATAGTAAAAAGTGGGACATAAAACTCAGCCACAGAGAAGAATCTGCCGGATAAAACTGGATGTCCGTAACTAATAGTTACAAAGGACACACTCTCCTGGGAGTGCGTTTCCGTATTATACTTTTATGGGACCGCCAAGCATAAAGTTTGAGGGAACTTCACTTTCCCTTTTTACTTTCCATTAAAATAACTTCTTTAACTTCTATTTTTAAAATATTGCATTTTATTTGTGAATAGCTCGAAGCTGTGGTGGTGGTGGTGGTGGTGGTGGTGGCGTTTTGTGGTTGTGTTTTTGGTGGTTGTGGTTGAATTTTGCTGAAATTTTTCACATTTAAGACTGGTTTAATTATTTAATTGGTTTGCATATTCGACATCTACATTAATGACATGAGTAGGACCTTTCACGGATTTGCTTTCTTTGAACATCAATATTTTGCTTTAACTTTACTTTTACTTTTACTTTTACTTTACGCTGTAAATATTCGTTTTTGTTTTTGGCTTTTTTGGTTTTCGTTTTGATTAAACTTTCTGTGAACATTAATTGAGTAATGTTTGTTATTGTATATCGGTTAACGCTATTTAAGAACTATGTGGATTGTGCACAGTCAACAAAGTAACTGGGGAGCTAAAGTGAACTCTCGAATAATCCGCTGGTACGGTCGATACTCGACCGACTACTATCAGATCAAATTCCTTTAGTCTGAATATCAATTCATACAAACACTTAATCGAAGCATCGCTGCGAAGTGGAGGGGGTGTGGCATCTAGCTAGACTCGGACCAAATACCTTTCAATGTTTATCATATATATACCATATAATCTGAACAACAAAAAATATAACTCTGTGGTAGGCGATCGCTGCTTTCGATGTTCTGAAACTTTCTGTTTTAAAACTGAAACCGAACTATCTATCTATCAGCTGTAGCTTTGGATCTGAGGGGACTCAATGTGGAATCAATCAGGCAACGCAAGCTGAAGGCGGTGGGATCTCTCTGATCGGGGGTTCTACCTCAACTCTCTATATCCTTTCTATAACTTTCTTTTCTTTTCTTTTCTTTTTTGTTTTCTATTCATTTCATTTCAAATCTTTTCGGTTTGACTTTGTCTTCGATTTTCGTTTGTGGCTGTTAAAATACTTTAAAATTATTGTATTATCTCATTAATTTAGTAGTTTCGTTTGGTTTAATCTTAAGTTAATATAGATTTAAGTACACACACACATTTATATTTGTATATGCTTGTATACGTGTTCGTATGTATTGTATATATATCTTTTATGGTACTCGTGTTCGGTATTCGGCATTCGCATTCGTATTTGTGTGTATATTTATTTAAAGTAATTTGTTTAAAGTAATTGCGTTTACATTTATTTCTATTGAAGTTGCTCTCATTTTAATTTGACACTAATTTTAGGTTTCAATTTGTTTAAAGTTTAACTCTGTTCCATGCCTAGTTTGGCATCTGTGGAAATAAAACATCGCATTGCAAATAGAGGCTCCGTTTATTCTCTGTAAAAAATAAAATCGTGTAGCACGAGCTCGAGATTTCGCTCGGATAAGTTCACAGTTAGTCCCTAAAGATCGGTATATAGCCTTACTACGTGGAAAGTACGCATTAACTACGCAAACATCGCTTAGTATTATTCGCTAATCTCCTCGAGATTCTCGCTTATCCTCGAACGGGGGAGGCAGGGCAGGTGGTAATCGGTCAGATTGGTCTATCTGGGCAGTCGCAGGTGGAGCAGCTCACTGGGTTAGACGCCCTGGGCGAGGCTCTCCTTTGACAGCGCCAGGATCGGCTGGTCCACCGCCTGGTGTGGAATTATGAATGGCGAGGCCAGCATCTGCAAGGGTCTAAAGTAAACATAATGAATGAGTTCCTGTTTCCGCCTTTGGATTTTGCGAATTCGGAAGGCGTTGTGGGTGGTTTCCGTTCCTGGCAACTTACTCGGCAAAGCTGGTGGCCGTCACCATGGGCTGACGGACCGAGTGCAGCGCCTGCGAGTTCTTGGCCCTAGCCAGCAGACTCATCACTGTGCGCTTGGTGGGATTCATTCCGGAGCGGGGAACACCCAGCAGCGGGCGCTTCCTTCCCAAGCCACCACCTGACAGAAACCAAAGTCAGAATAATTAAAATATAAATGCTGGTTGGTCAAAATTCAATATTTTAATATTTTCTATGCCACTTAAGCTAGTTACTTTTATTAAAAAGAGTTTTTAATTTAATTTGCGATGAGAGATTGATATGCTAGATTTATTTTAAAAACATTTACTGGTTAAAGTTCGTTAGAAGTTTTATAGATATAATTTAAATAGATTATTGCAATACATATTTAAGATTATCTAGAAGTTGTTTCCAAATTGCCATTGAGGGTTCCCAGTGTAGTAAGCAAGATTAGCTGTGGATGGCAACTGAAGCTTCGACTGGGGGACTCACCTATGTTGATGGTCTTGACGTTGCGCAAAGCGGGATGAAGGAGGGCGGTGCCCGGTGGCTCCAGCAGAGTGAGCGTCGATCCGGATGACTCGCCGTCGCCGGACAACTGCAGGGCGGCGGCTCCCGCCTGGCTGGTAGGCAGACCAGCCATGGTGGCGCCCACTCCGGTGGCCGGCTTCAGGAGTCCTCCGATTCCTGCGGCTGTCAGCTGATGCTGGAGTGCCACTGCCATGGCTGTGGTGTGTACTGTGGGTGGATTGACGGCGGACAGAGGAAGAGAACCGGATGAGTGGCAGCTGGAGGATTACTTTGGACAAAGGGAGAAGGAATCTGACTCTGATAGCCGCAGCTTAGAATGCCCTTTCAAAGAGATTGTACCTGTGGATTCTCTTTCTAATATCTAAACTACCCCTAATGTACCTAATATATCATATATATTTTATGAAATGCTGCTACCCTAACTATTATTTGAATAAAATTTGTCCGATATTGCATCCTTCTCCGATGTTCTTCATATTGCCTACAAAAATCTACATAAAAACTTTCCTAAAGACATACCCCTTCATAAATTAATCGATTTTCGATGTAATGTAAGTTATTTAATATTATTAAGTGCCTATCGAAAGCATATCATCCTCTGAAAGTGTGTTTAAGCCTGAATTGACTCGACTCTCGGCTGGAGCTGGATTATGTTCATTGGCCCATTCATGCACTACATCAATGGCAGCCGTAATTTCCAATTAATAGCCGAGCCCAGCCTGGCTTTGGTAAAGCCACAACTGCTAGAGTTCACTTACGTGCCGCCGCGGTCGCCGGAGTCGCCTGTCCAGAGAGATGCTCCCCGCAGGCAGCCGCTGCTGCACTCGCTCCGCCGTGGGCATGTTGCAGCAGCTGGTGGAAATGCGCCTGGTGGCTGTGGTGGTGTTGCTGCTGGTGGTGGTGCACCTGCTGCTGCTGCTGCTGCTGGTTTCCGTGGGCGTGTGTTGGGTGCAGGTGGGCGTGGTGCTGGTGCGGATGCGGATGCTCGGTGCTGGTGGTGCTGATGGTCGTGATTCCGCTGATGCCCAGGCTGGCGCAGCTGGAGGAGCAGTCGAGCTTGTCGACTGCCGACAGGCACTCCATGCCGCTGGTGTCATCCGATTTGTCATCGTTGGACGTGTCCATGTCGGCTAGTCCACCACCCAGGCCACGCCCATTTGCCCCAGTAGATGAGACAGTGGTGGCGCCACCCACCTGATTACTTGTGTTAATGGTGGGACTCTGCGAGTCCTCCAGTGAGTGGGCGCCCAGTGCTGGCGTGGACGTAAGCGCCTGCATCTCCCACATCTGTTCCTGGCGGATGTCGTCGTGGTAGTCCTGCAGTGATAAGATGTTCGATTCAATGATGGAAACGGCTACCCACTGCTCTCTATTTCGGAATACAGATGATTCGAGGCAGTGAGAGATGTCATTCCGCTTAGCAAACCAAACGGATGAGGATTTTGACCTTCTAACCTTTTTATCTTGTATTTAGAAATAGGAAATACTTTTTTATAATTATGGATCTATAATCTTCAAAGAGAAACGAATGATGTTGCCCCTTGACTTAAGATACAAAGAGCTCTGTACCCAATACCACCTAAAGCACTCCTGAGAAACCAAGATACTGTCCATCACTGGCGGGATTAGTTGTGGGACCACGGGAACACCTCAGTCGAGCAATTAAATTTAATTCACGTTTCCCTGGCCGGCGTCGTTGGCAATAAATGCGAATTTTATTGGATGTCAATTAAAAGTTTGTGCGCAGCCACGTTTCATGTGTCGCCGGTGGAACACCCTTTGAGCAGAAACCATTTCTGCCCCCCCGGGGCAAGCACATATACACACACATTGGGGCGTACGTACATATATGTATCTGGGTATCTGTGAGTGCTTAATGCAATTATGTGGGTGGTGGTAGAGTGTATGTGTGTAGGCCTGCCTGGATGCGATAGATACACGCACGCAGGAAACTCCAGCCCGTTGGATACACATTTCATCAACCCCATTAACCGACTAACTCGTTTATGAATATCTCTGAATTTGCAAACGAATCGCATGCACAACATATGTATGTGGCACACCTATTTCCTACGTTTTAGTATCCTTAAAACTGTCACACAATATGGCCTTTTTATGGCGCTCGCTGGCAAGCATAAATCGTGATTGCAGATGCCATAAACAATTTCCCCGCCAGGTGGGTGAGTCTTAAATATGTCGCAGATGAGATTCACAAAGAGATTTCAGGCCAAATAAAAAACAAAAACAAACAAACAAACACACACACTCAGACACCCATACTCCACTCGGCTCAAAGTAACCCCAGCAATTTATCTAAATTGAAACAGTTTCTTCTTTCATCGCCTTTGTCTCATCCCCCCACTGTTGTTATGGATATATCAAATAATTTCTATGCAAATTTTCGTCGTGTGTAATCAGATCGGAAAAACTCAGAGGGAGAAATCCCCAGGCAGGAATCAGGAGAGAGAGTTTCAATGTTGCTAGCATCTGCCAGTCAAAGGTCGGCCAGGATGTCAATATATTAGATTACCCGACCCCAACTTGAAAATCAGCCACATCCACTCCAGCTTAAGCTGGGAATAATGTGGTATGGCTGCCTGCCAAGTCCCGACTTCGAAACAATGCCACGTCGTCATGTGGGGTAGGTGAGAATTGAATTTTGTGGCAAATTATAGATCAAAGCCCGGGTCTTGAGGTATAATTTGCAATAAGCAGAATATATTGCGCTCATTTGTAATTCTCTCGGATGCAGCAAACGCTGTGTATAGTATACGGATACCCCAGATAGATGGCCCCGGCATGCCGTTTAAATTGTTCCATGTCCACCCTCACATTTCTGCTTGCATCTTAAAGAAGATGTATAAATAAAGTATGCCGGCGCCGGGCAAGTGAGGATGATGCCCAGGACGTGCAGCCTCCAGGACTCCCAATCTGCCTGTATCCCGTCTGCAGGCTGCAGATAGTAAACGCTTAACATTTGTGTCTCGAGTGGAGGATGGCAGAGGAATATCTACCCCCTCTCCCTCTCACTCCTCCTCTCCACCACACACACGTTGGCTCCAGAAGATGGCAACGGCGTTGGCCATGGCGATATGGCGATATGGCGATGTGGCGATGGCGATGGCGTGTCGAGGGCCGCACAATGGCCAAAAGGAAGATGCCAGCCAAGTTCCCCAGTTCCCTTAGCCAAGGAGGTGGCAAAAGGAGTGGGCCAAGAGTGGGCAAGCAGGGCAAAGTGGGCGGGCACAGTCGAGTGCCGAGGGGGTGGCAAATGTAATTACAGCACAATGCAATTTAGTCAGCGAGAGAGCGCGGAGACCAGGAAACCCGCTGCATGCCACGCGAACACGACCAACACGGAAGCTGAAGTCGATAACGAGCACAACCTTGGAGCAGTTCGCACGGCTCCAGTCCTCCTACACTCCCAAAACTATTTGCCATGACTTTCGCAAATTTGACTTTAATTAAAGTCGTCAGCGAGTTCGGGAAACTTTCATCAAAACAACATCGTTTTCTAAACTTGCAACGAAATTGGCCCTAAAACATGACTTTCGAGAAAATTGTACTTTTTAAACATTTTCATGATAAACGTTTTTAAATATAGCTTAAGATTGTCTTAAAAAGGTAATATTTTATATTGTAAAAGAAAAACTTGTAAGCTTCTGCCAATCAAGTTTAATTTCTTACAAGGGGAGTCTTTGTGAAAATCGAATTGCAATGTCATAAAAACCAGATATGGGTTGTTCCTTTAACTTAGAAAAATTAACATTTGCATTTAATATAGCTTCTACTTGAATTTAAAGAGATAAATAAATTTAGACCCAATCCCCCAAAAGCCCACCCAACCTTTTTTTTGGTTTAAAGCCAAGGGATTAGAAAAGGATTTTTACAAATTGCCTTTCGCCGAGGACGACAGTTTGATGTTTTAGCAATCTAACTTATTATTCTTGTTTGGGAGTTAAATTTTGAACATTTCTGGTTAGTCTTTTCTTGACATTTTAATCGTACTTCTGATTTTAAGTACCATTTTTCTCCAAGTGCACTCCACGCTGCCATAACTTTAAGACCCGTGTCCCGGCAAACTTTAAGATGCTCATTTGCGTGCTCGTGGAGCGGACGAAACTTAAATCATTAATGGGTATTAAACACAAACAATGCCAAGGGAGATGTTCCGAAAAAGGTCGCCCCATTGAAGTCCATGCCACTCCACTCAGCTTGACTCACCGGAACCAGAAAGCGGCGCACTTCCGCCAGCGCGTAGGCGATCCGGGCGTGGGCCTCTGCCGGAGCGGCGAAGGTCGAGATCTCGACGTGCAGGTCCTCGAAGAGATGGGCATAGCGACTGTCCCCACTGCCGCGCAGCTCCTCCTCCTTCCGCCGGTCCCGCATCGATCCCCGTCCCAAGACGGCCATCTTGCACATGGTGTCCTCCTGCAGGCGCTTCATCGAGTTGCCCTTGGGTCCGAGCAGCTTGCCCACGAAATTGAACTGTTGCGGCCGAACAAAGGGAAATGCAATGAAAATGTTTACCCTCCGTTAACAGTTTTCCATCCAGCATCCAGTTAACTCCTCCTCAACCTACCTTGGGGTGATCCCGCACAGGAACCGCCACTTTGACGGCCACCTTCACCGGCTTGTCGCGAGTGATGTCCAGCATTTTGAGTTTCTCTGCGGGTTGGAAAACAGGAAAATGCATTCAGCTTAATGCTCGTGTAATTAAACGTGTAATTTAACTTTATGGAGGCGCATTATATGCTCAAAGGGGATAAGGAGTTAAATGTTTAATAGCCCCCGCCCACTCGGCAAGGTATCAAATTTGCAAAACGTATTCTCTGCTTTTATGGTACAAAATATAATTATTAAACACTGGGCAGATTAAATCTTTCTTTTAGTTCCTACATGTTAACTTAATACTTATACTTATTGCTGGATCTCTCTACACAAACTTTGACGAGCACTAATTAAATGAAAATGTGAAGCTACTTTGACGAGCGAAAGTATTAAGTATCTGTCCTTAAATATTTGAGAAACGTTCGTGTAGTAAAAGGAAAAGAAATAATTGGGAAAATAGTGAAAAGTAGTTATTAAACTTCAACTAAAAACTTGGTTTTTCGTTTCAGTTTCATGCTGCTCAGCTTAATTATCAAGTCTATAGCTATCTTTCAGATTTATGAGCTAAGATTTGTGAATTTAATTTACAAATTCAAACTCTTTAATATCCCGCAGGCTAATTTAATTAAATTAAACATTAATTAGGTCGAAAGATAATAACTTCCAAATAATGCATGCGTCAGCTATTAAAGGGGGCAACATTTTGAATAAATAACCATGCCAGATCTGTCAAAAAGTCCGCTTTCTATCTGTATTAATAAATGAAATTAAACTAAATTTGTTGATTTATTTTCCCGGAAAGTTTAATGAACTGATAAACATTGTGTCAAATGTTATACTGCGAGTACTAAAAAAGGATAATAATAATTGCAAAAGTATCCATTAAAGTGGCATTTAATCATTTTAAATAAATAAATTCACACGCCGTAACTATTTTGAAGAGAAACCCAAATAAATATCTCATCATATTCCACTTTATCTACATGTATTTACAAGTTAATTTAGTTGCGGCATTACGTCTTTTGAAGTTGTGTGGAATTGCAAAGACCCGAAGATTGTTCCATTCATTTTGTGAATGCTGTCGAGTGAATAAATGTGTATATTGCGGACTATTCACGCCACCAGCTGCCCTCATAAGTATGCTACAGACGCAGAGTTCATCGGATTATCTCGAGCTGACTTGTGTCACCTGCCCACACATCCGCCCTTTCGCCTCCTCCACCGCCATGGCATCCCGGCATCCTGGCATTCTGGCATCTAGTGTCGCCAATCTGGTATCTGTATCTCTGTATCTGGATCTTTAGCTGCCCGCAGCAGACGCTGCGACATTTGTAAACATTTGGCGGAGCCTTAAAGACAGCTATGGATGCCAGTCCTTTCTCTGCCTTCGCTCGTGCTTTCTTCGGTGCTTTCTCTCAGTTTCAGCTGTTTGTAACTAATTAAGCAAAATGCTTCTGCACACACACACAAACATATATATAAACCCGAAAAAGAGAACGAGAGGCTTGGAGGGATGGGGGGAAATGTTGGATAAATCTGTTGACAGGCCCAAACATGAAAACATTTTTGTTTGCTCTTCAGCTCGGGCTCAAGTCCTGGCAAGGACTCACGGGGACACACAAACACAAGCACCCACCAAGGGGAAAGCGGGGTGAGCACACACAGACCCACACTCACACCTTGAGACGCACACACACTCAGAGGCATCGTCACTCATTAGCAGGCGAAATGGCTTTCTTAACACCTTTTGTCGTTGCCTTTTGCACGGAATGCAACATTTGCCTGCAACAGTGCTGCCAGCCTAGCTGTTTTATAGACGAAAATGTAGCTAAGCAACAGAACAAAATCGTACATATGTATGAAGTCTTCAAAGAATATGCACGGATTCATAAAAAGAAAGAAAAATTCATTTTTAATTAGTGAGATTGGAGAGAGATTGGATAATAATGATAGTACTACCCTTGCTTAAGCTGTTAGCTTTCTTATTTTTCAAAATAACAAGAAATTAAATGAAAGCTTTTATGCAAAAATAAAGAATAATGTTTAAAACTTTCTTGAATAATTTCTGCGTACGACAATCGGCGTTTGCTTATTTTTTATTTTTGATTCAAAAATTTTTTACAATTTTAAAAACAAGTCTTCTTTATCAAAATCCATTGTTTCTGCGCCTTAGAAAAATGGGTTAACTGCAATTTAAGAATCAGAGTATACAGATGAATATCCCATTGGGAGCTTTTCCTTTTGGTAATCTGCCGTTGACATCACTGGCCATTCCCCTTTTCTTTTTACCTGCTTACCGCCCAATTTCCACCCGCCGGCCTTTCTGTCTCTCCAGTAGTTTCTTGTCAGTGGCAGCAACATGCATAAGTAGCTGGCAGTTGTCAGCGGAGAGCACTCTGATGGGCTTCAGCCAGGTGGGCGGTGGGTGGCGCTGGGTTGGCTAAAGATGAAAGTGGACGGGAGAAAGGGGGGTTGCTATTTCAGGCGAAATGCAAGTAGGTGAAAGCACAGATCTGTGTTAATTGTTTGGCATTGCGGACCAGCCGTCATAATATTTATGCTGCCTAGAAGACAAAACAGATTCGCATCTGGGGATCCCGTGGGAAATCAGTATTCATACTTCGGCTTGATTAATTACGCTCATCAGACCGAGGTGGAATATCCTAAAAGGATATCCGTGTTCTTCTCCTGGCCGCTTGTCCCACAGAAATTAGATTAATTTCCATTTCATTCAACATTGTTTGTAATGCTTATTCAAGGGGAAGGCCACAACACGCCAGGACAGGCCAGGATGGGCCAGGAAAGTTGTGTTGTTTTCCCTCGACGCAGACTTTTCAATTAGCGACATTTCACCAGCAATTAAATTCGCCTGAAATAACTTTTTACTCTCTGTCTTTCTGTCGGTGCTGTATTTAAAGTAATCTATGCATATTTGTTTTAATTAAACGATATTTTCACAATTGTCGTACTGGGCAACGGATCGATTAATTTGCGAGCGGGAAAAATGCCTTTGCCCATCTTGCATTTAAAGCGCCATTAATTGGTCTTTTACACAATGATTATGTAAATTTATTGATTTACCTGCACTGCTCGAAAGAGCAATAATAATAATAATTACTTTTTCGCTCACAGCCATGACAATAATTATTTTATCCGCCCGTATCGCGGGCAACTTTTTGCCCATTTTCAGTTCAGTTTAGTTCGGTTCAATTTGGCAGAGTTTCGGTTCTGGCCAGAAGGTGCGAGCGAATTTGGCCTCCGCTGCTGCCTAATCTCCACTAATTTATGGCCAGCACGGCCATTAACGTAATTAGGTATGCATTTCAGGCCACCAGGTGGCCACGCCCACAAGGATTGGGCCGTCGGAATGCAGCGGGAGTCCTGGCAGCGATTCAGAACCTCAATGTGGTGGTCCGCCCCACTTGACTAAACACTTGATGGTGTAAATCAGATTTAAATATCAACTTGCCGCAGCCACAGACTTTAGAAACTAGCATTTCCTTTGGTTTTTCCTCCACGTTTCCTTGGCTTTTCCGCCATCGTGCATCCCTGGGGGCAGGTTGCTAAACATTTGCTCAGTCACTGCAATTGTTTCCGTTGCCACTTTTTGTTGCTTATTCCCTGTGTTTTGTTTGCCGCCCGTCCGATGCCATATTTTCCACATTTTCCTTTTGCGCGCCGCCTTCGCTTGGCCTTTCCGGGTCATTTGCTCGTCCGGAAAAGCGGAAAACACTGTCCTGGGCCGCTGCCTACTGCCGAGTCCGTAGTTCGTAGTCTTTCATCCGTATCCCCCGCCCTTCCTTAGTCTCTGCCCTGGGGGCAGGCACTTGAGCCAGCACACCACCCCAACCCCTGACCCCCGGAAAATGCCTGGAAAAACCCTCTTCAGAGCGATGACGCTGTCTTGGGCATGATATATAAGCCTTTTATTTTCCCAACCTCTGGCACCTGCCTGCACGGAGAAAAACCAAATATAACAATCACGGATGTCACCGAACTTCAGAGACAGAAGTCTGCCGAGATTGCATAACTTTGGGCTTCTTAAAGTATGACATTAACTTCTCGTCTAAAACCCGCGGGACTTTCACTGGTTTTCTCCTTGAGAATAATGGGTAAAAAATGAACTTTTAAGAATTTTGTGCTTGCTATAAATTTATTTCTTTACCCATTATTCGGATGCCCAAATTGTGGTTGCCAATACTACAAAATAGTTTGTCTAGGAAAATGTTTCCATAGAAATTAATAGGTTACAATATGATTTTTCTCCGATTCCCCGAATATATGCTCTTTAACGGGTAACTTAATGTTTAGGGATATATATGCCATGTCTTGATCAATTTGATGATATAAAAAGGGGAGTTAAGACCTCAAAAAGACTCCTCAACTGCAGTTTTATGTCGCAAGTTTAAAATTCTCTTGAAAATGTGATTTATTCGAAGCTAATTGGTTTCTATAAAGATAAATAAAATATTAATTTAAATATTTACCAATAAATTACCAATGAAAACACAAAGAACCTCTCAATGCCAATATTTTTCTTCTGTGTGGTCGTAGTCAAAGGTCACGTGGGAGTCAAGTGTATGAATGCGCAAATTATTCAATTTCAAAGACGAGATTTCCCCTTTGCCGCGCTGACCGTTGGCCATTTCAATATGGCCCAAAGGGCCTGCCAGTTTAATCAATATTTCGTCAGTGTTAATGTCCTTGGCAATTTCTCGGCTCGTGGCCGAACCATTGATGGTCCATTTAAGCGATTTTCGACAGGACAGATACCAATGATACCTTCTCGTGGGACGCCCTCCGGTTGGTTTAACATTTCCCCGGGGACGGATTACCACGGAATGCGTCTCGTTAGCCGAAACAAAAGTAAAAATAATCATAAAAAAGAAACAAGAGTCGTCGGCGGCGGCAGGACCAGAAAAAAAAGTCAACTTTTGCCCAGAAGCTTACATGTTTTCTGGTGGGATGGGCGGTGACTAAACATCCGCTACTGCTTTCTCCGCTTGTTTATTATATCCCCTTTTTATGCTCATTTCTCTTTCTCTCTCTCTCTCTCCACTTTCTGCCTTTCTCCCCGGCGACAATCTGTAATCCAATGTTTTTTTCGTTTTTGTTTAAATTTCCAGTATTGCTCGGATTAGACTCAAAAGAGGGAAAAGCTATGTACAAAAAAACAGCAACAAAAAGAAAGTCAGCTTTGATGGATATATGTATCGTCCTCCGAAGGACTCTCGTTTTCCTCTCCCCCCCATTTTGATTTCTTTGTATGATTTGCCTTTAAAGCTAAGCTGGCTGGCTGGGCTGAGATTGAATCGAATTTTGAGTTCAAATGAAAGGCAAAGACGACAAATAGTTTTGTTTTCGCACATGACGTAATCGACTGCTGTGTGTTTATGATTAAATTTACCCCCAGCCAGGCAGGTTCTACTAGAAATGGTAGCTCTGCGCTATCAGTATCAGCCAGTGTGACGACGACAGTTTTTACGACGGATGCCAGGATGCCCGCTCGCTTTTATGTCCTTCCTTAACTTTTGCGTAAACAAGTCGAAAGTCGAAAAGGTGGAATAGCAGAAAAAATTCACATTTCCCCCATCCAGTTGAGCCGGGAAACTCTGTTGGCGATTGGTGTGTGTGTGTGGTGTGTGTGTGTGTGGGGTTTTCTAAATGCCCTCAGAGCATATATGAAGGTGGGTGGTTGGTTGGTTAAACAAAACAGTGTTGGTCGTATGGTGGTAGCTTCTCCTTCGTTTACTCTTCACTCTGTTTGACTTTCCTCCGGCTCCATATTCCGGATTCGATTCAAACTTATACGGGGATATACACTGCCTTTCAGAACTATAAGACAGTTGAAGGGACATTCGGGAGATTTGGTGGAATAAAAAACGAATAGATTCAATCGTTTTATCGCAACTTGATTTCGAAGATAAGCTCGACCAATTCGATGACTGACATTTCTGGAAATTCGACAAATCTGTTTTCCATAACAGAGATTGATATGGAGCAACTCTGAAATAATTTAGAGGACATTTTGATGCTTCTTTCGATTGCTTCTTTTCAATATTTTAAACCAAAGTGTGTTTTCTAATTGCAGATTTTAAGAGTATGCCAATATAGTAGCCTTAAGTTTAATCTAATGCAACTCCTAATAAATTTCTTAAACTTGTTTCCACATTTAACATTATATTAACTTAAAATAAACGAAAACCAAAAACTATAGGCATGAGTTTGAGCTTAAATTAAAGTGAAATTTTCAAGCACTTCCAAAAGGGATTCGGTTTCTTATGCTAACTCCCATTTTAGCACACTACCCACAATCAAATAAACCCGCCTTACATTCTGAACCGCACTGTACGTGTATGTGCTAGACAATTTGTGTCATCGACTGCGCCAAATTCTCGGCATTTGTCGGCAATTATATAATCCACATACCTGAACCTTTCAGGGACCTTTCCTCCAGCGCACTTAAGCCAGCTTTAGTATCCATTCTTTGTTGCTTTTGTTGCGGTGACTGCAAAGTGAAAGAATGTGAATAATCTATATGAGCATGTAATAATAGTTTGAGGCCAAAGGGATTTCGTCCCTTTCAAGTTTTCAGCTAAGCCGCCCCCAAGTACCACCTACGCCTCCCCCTGACTCCCTTGACGCCACCGATCGACCCGTGCCTTCAGCCAACATCTTGCGGTAAGCCCGTGTAAAAAGCTTAAGGAAAACTTTGGAAAATTTTTATCATAATGCAGCTGACAAAAACGCCCCAACATGGTAAATACTTAAGAAAGTTGGAGGGAGTGGAAGGGAGGGGGCGTACGAGGCATTTTGTTTCAAATCTGTTGATAAGTTCCATAATGAAATAAGCCAGGGCAAAGTTGGTAGCGATTTCTACGCATATATCCCCAAAAGACAATCGAAAGTTTGCGTAACCCCGTGGAGTGAACTTTTCCGAATCTTTATGAATATTGATTGCAGCTGCCGGTGATCCCTGGCCCTTATCTCCATCACCGTCTCTCTCTATCTTTCTACTCTGTTTGTGGATTGGGTTTCAGTGGCATCAGAGATTGACTCTCATCCTGTGTCCTCCATCCATTCATCCATCTATGGAAACCAAACATTTGCCCCATTTCGAGTGTCGAGTATCGGTTTCCCCCAGTCAGCAAATATGTATGTATGTACGGCTGACATGAAAGAGGGACCGGGAAATTCGAAACAAAAAATCAACTCAACTCATATGATATCATAGCATTCCCTTGCGAGAAGTATGTGATGTACACTTGTGCGCCAGTCGGAGCGTAATCGGTGACCCCGATTTCTTTGTGCTTAGGGATAATTGGCCAGTGCGCCCCATTAAGTTCTGGATAGCATCCATCCACGATTCAGGATCTGCGCCTGGGCATAAAATCATAAAACCTGAAAGAGTCGTATAATTTTCAGTGCCATAAAACACTCAGTCACGCTGCTTAATTGCCTTTCAGAATGATTTCAACTATTTGTTTCAGAAATAGCTCCCGCCCTCTCCCTTGAAAGCGATTTTAAATTAAAGCCAAGCTACCTGGAAAATTGATGGACGGCCGATAACGAGCGGAAGTGGGTTAAAGTTCTTAAAATTAATGACAGCTCAAGCGCCCCAAAATCTCCGCCAATGTTTGTGTTTTAGTCCTCGTTCAAGTCGCTTTTGTTCTTCTTCTTCTTGTTGTCTTTCTCTTCCTTTGCGTTTCTGCCATTCCCCCGCATTCGCAACTAAGTTTGACGGATTTGTGCGCAGTTTCAGATTAATGCTGCGATTATTGTTTACCGTTGGAATTACGCACAGTGGGGCCAGATGGTGGTAATCTTTGTCTTGGCTAAGTAAATATTATTTTTAAGCGAGGATGGGTAATTATTATTCCCACTGCTCGGGGCTAAATGTAAGAGTGGGTTGTTAACAGAAGGAAAAATGCTCAAAATATATTTACTTAACCTTTTCATTAGTTTTTAGATATTAAATATTTTTAAAAACATGGCATATGGCTTAGTGTGAACATGATATTATTTTTTAAGTCATACTACTGCTACAACATTTGCCTTAGACATAAATGCATATATACATCTTTATGTATTTTTATTTTTACACTTTAATAAACATTTAAATATATTCATTTCACCCACACTAACCTACTCTACTGCCCTAGTCTTTAACCACTGTGCAAGGACGGCGACCGCCGTGTGTTTCTTATGCAAAATTTAACCCAGTGTAGAGTAGGTCGGTTCACTCAGTCGGTCGGTGGGACGGTGGGTCTCGGGATCGGTGGGCCGATGGCTTGGGCGCTTGGCTGGTTTGCTTTATTCATTCCCGCTCCTCGGGCTCCGGTCTGGCCTCTCGCTCTCACTCGCTTGTCTTTGTATAGCTCGGCACGCACGATTTAAGGATAACGAGGATGGAATGCAGGAAGCGAGGCAAATATTTACACAGTTGGATGATTTAGATAAAGAAGACATGAACATGAACCATAAAGCGAACGAAGAAGAAGGCGACAGTGACTGGAAGCGAGGGATTGGAATGGAGATATATGTGGGGCCAAGTAAACCCCGGGACATTATCCAATGGAAACTGGGACGGACATTATGGCAGCAGGGATGGAAGAGGATAAAGAAATTTGAATACAATGAAGGGGATTTCGGCGATAGTCCTGATTGCCGAGCGCCACTTCATGAGACAAGGAATATTAATCCAAATTAATGGCGTTATCTTGCAGGAAGTTCCTTCTTCCGTTCTGCCACAGAATAACAGACATTCAGAAATTACACAATTGGCAAGCGGCATGCGGCGTGCGGCGTGCGGCATGCGGCATGCGACAAACGGCTGCAATCGAAGACAATTAAGTTACCAAACAACAACCTGCCTTTGATTTAAAGTCCGATCCGGCATATTCTGCCTTTTAGTATGCAGAGCAATGCTCACCTGGATAATTTATTCAAGCGAATATTGCAGTCACAGTAACATCAGAAAAATGAAAAATAAAAACCAAATGGAAATGCAAATACACAGCACAGCACAAACAAACTCGCACATGCATGGCATGGGTGAAAACTCTATATATTCCATACCAAAAAACCCACATCCAGACCCACACCCATACCCACACCCACCTTATAGCCATGGCATCCTGCAACCATTGCTCATCCTGCGAAACGGGCCCACTTGAATTCTGTATCTGCATTTACCCGGCTACGTGTCAAATCCGTCTAAAAGCCGAAGGGCTCGCATCTGCATGTAAATGAATGTATAACATATTTCAGCAGATTCGCACAACATTTGAATTATTTGGGCATTGTGTCAACATTCCAGAATCCATAAATCCCGGCCAGCCGATGCATAGTGGATCGGTCCTGGTCCAAAGCCCCAGAAATCGGGGCGCCATCAACCTTTCATCTTCCATCTAAAAAGTCTTGCTACGTTTATTTGTTTTCCTCGAATTTATTTGACCAGTTGGTCAATATGAAAATGCGAAAATGAAATATTCAAAATGCCTTCAGAGCCCCGAGGGTGGAGCACGGAGAACCACCGAGAACCGCCCACCATCGAGCAACCCCTTTCGACCGTGTTTGCCTCCTAAATGCTAGAGGAATTCCTGACCGGAAATTGTTTCACAAGCGTTGGCCAATTAATTTCAAAAAATAATGGAACAATTTTTTCATCGCTCAAACACTGAAAGAATGAAACATTTCATGTTTTAATATTTATTCTGATTGATTTTTAAATCAAGATGCGAGGCTTGTTTAAAAATAAACAAACTTTGAGAGAGAAACTTTAATCGGAAAAAACTTCTGTGTGACGGGAATCATAAATGTTTATTAAGATTGAATTATAAAAGCCGAGTAATTATATTCCATGGCTGCCAACAATTGAGCCAATTTGCTGTCATTAAAGATAATGGCAAACAAAATCGAAATATGGCTAGCAGACATGGTATTAAAGTTTGTAATTAAAATTTATACATGATTATTATGGCTTAAGTTTGAAAAATTTAATAACTAAATGGATTTTTTGCAAGTGCATGAAGGCTTAGGAATGTATTTTCGACTAAAATATTAAACGAGAGAGAAGAAGGCCCCGTGGAATTTGTTTATTTAATCGACTGCGGGATGTGCTCAATCAAGAGCATCCAGTTTGGACTCGGAACTGATTTGAGCCACGGAACTTACAGTCCAAAATCAAGGGAGAGCCATTAAAGCATCGTTGATTAATCGATGTGGTTATCAAAGCCACATAATCGGATATCCCGCAGCGTTGCAGTGTGCCAATGCATTTCAGAAATTGATTTATGTGGGTGTGCATTTTGAATGGCCCGGACTGGGAGCGGTCATTTTTTACCATTAATCATATACCTAATCTGAAATTCATGACTTTTTCCCCCTTTCTAATGAAGCACATAATAGTTACTCTCTGGCCATGTCTCCTGGGGGAATTTTTTAGGGGTAGTGTGGGGGGTGTTGAGGGTCCTGACCCAGGAAAGTTGGCTTTTTAAAGCTGGTTGAAAAACAAATTCATAGACGTGTCCCTCATATAATGCGGCCAGCAAATATGCATCCAAATGTATAATTCAGCCACAAAAAGTAAAACTTTTCCCTTTATTCTCGTATAAGTTGGCCGCAAACCCAAAAAAGGCAATGCCAAAGGTCCTTTCGCCTTCGCAGGCATTCCTTCATAAATAATTTCATAATTCCAAATTCCATTTCCCTTTTTATTTTTGCGTTGAGCCAAGGAAGGTTTTTGAGGTTCAGGTTGAAGTTGAGGCTTATGGCGACCCACGGATTCATTCAGTGTACTCATATACACTGGGGCTGGGCTCCCCAAGCGCTTTGACTTAATAAATTAGTGTTCATCAATAATCATCTGTGTAATAATTTATCAGAATTAGTTATATTTTGCCAGGTCCGAGCGGAAATCACCAAATAAATGGCTTTCCACTCTGCTGGCGATGAGAGTGAGATAAATCAAAAGCAATTACATTCATTCATTCTCGTTTATATGACTGCCCCGCCCAAGGATTCCCTTCGATTCGACCAGCCTCGGGGGGAATTAGTCCTGCGGATTCTGGACTCTGGTTTGTGGACTCCTGACTACGGACTACGGACTACGGACAGTTGGACACACGAACACACATTTTCCCCGCTGGCTATTTGTACTTCTACTTTGGCAAGTATACTGACATCGAGCCACTCGAGCCGCATTCCGCATTCCAGGTGAATAATTCAGTTACTTAGCCCAGGCCGTAATTAAGTTGTAACAGGTGTGAAAGAGCCCCACATTTCATACACTGCTGCCGAACGTGACCCAATATTTACCTAGTTAAGTTGAATTTATGCCCGGATTGGAGCTGCTTTAATCCTTGCTCCTGCCACCGACACTGGGGCACATTTGTCTCAATTTTCACAGTCACTTCAATTTTCACTTTGCCAAATGACAAATGCCCGTGAGCGCTTATTTCATTGCTTATTCATAGGCCGTAAACATTTCGCGCGGAAATTCATTGGGGCCTGATTAAAGATGCATGCCTAAGGTGCGACGCCTTGTTCCGCTTTTAATTTCGAGTCACTCGGCACCATTCCACTCCACCCGTAGTCACGCGTCCCGTCCCGTGGCAGATAATGTCATCCGATTTCGGCTCCCCGAAACCGCAAGGATCCAACTGTTTTCGGTTTTTGGTTTTGAGCAATGGCAATGCCAATGGCGCTGGCACTGGCACTGGGACTGAGACTGGCACGGTAGCCACAAAACGCCACCGGAGTGGCTAGATGGCGGGAGATGGCGACAACAAACTTTCACTGGAGTTGTAGTTAAAGTGGGTGGCCAGAAGGATGGCCATACACCACTTGACACAAGATAAACAATTTGTCTCTTTGGGGCAACTTGGCGCCAAACACCTGAAGGTGGAAACTGAGTGTGTTTGTGTCTGTGTAGGTTCTCTATCACTCCTCCGAACTCGAAAGGAACCGCATTCGGGAGTAGGTTAACCGTTCCGTTAAGAGCCCGACGCGCAACTGATGGGAGCTGAATGTGGCCAACTTTCTGGAGACCCCAAGCATTTGGCAACTGTGGATGCTGGATGCTGGATGTTGGATGTTGGTTCCTGATTCTGCGCACTGCCCCCAAGAGCCATCTAGCCCATAGTGGGAACAGTCCTCCGATAATGCAGGCCAGATGTCCTGTGCAAAGGCATTTCCGTTATACTTTAAAATGCACATAGCCGTAATTACTTTCGGCTCGGCTTTGCTCTGCGATTAGCCAGGTGGATATCTGGACTTCTTCGGATTGGCTTTCTTTGGTCTTGGAAACTTGGATGCATTCCCAGCTTATTCCGGCTGGAGTGACGCCTGGCTTAAATTTTAATATACTCGATTGGGGCAGAGTTGTTTTTGCTGCTGCTTATTCAGATTCGGGATTTAGAAATAGTTCAAATAGCAGGAAAGCTGCTAGTTTAGCACACAAAAAAGATAATTAAAGTAAGATAAGTAACCCCTTTCCCAAGGCACTTAGTTAACTTGTAAAGAATCTTATTTCATAAATTTAGTTCTACAAATTGGACTTAAATTATGACTGTATCAAGAGCTATGGCAATGTTAATTACTAATAATAAACATAAATATTAAATACAATCCTAAAATTAGTTTTATGAGAGTCTCACTTAGTATTAAAGGTCTAAAAACTAAAAAACTTATAACTTTATTGTTATAACCCTGTGAAACTGCAAAAGTGCGTGGTCCTTTGGTGTACGTTTTCTAACCGTCCTCGAATACAGTGTTTTAAGAGCATCCTTTTTCGCCGCAGAAAAGCTTTGAATTTTCATGTAAGCAAATGCTTTGGCCAACGAATTGCATAACTCGCAAAAAAGAAATGCTCCGACCACATGCTAGAATCTCATTTCGGCCGAATCGATCGATCTGCGAGCGGGAAATGGGCGGTTTACATTGTGTTCCAGTGGCTGCCTTTAACCGAAGCCAAAGCAAATTTACATTCAAGTTTTCGGCAGCGTTCTCCGACCACAGGAAAAAAAAAAGAAGGAAAATGAGGAAAACGAATGGCAGCGAGGAAGAAGAACTACTGGAACTACATGCTATATGTATATCGGAGGAACCGTGGCCACAACGCCAGTTGTTCTGGTCCCCTGACCCCCGAAAATGCATCCTTGTTTATCGTGGCCATAGTGTCCTGCACCTCTCTCAGCGCCCCCATCTCCTTTTCAAGCTCCTCCCGCTACCAATTTACCCGAATACAAAACGCTTTAGGGTCCTATTTGGATACCGTTCAATGCACCAGGGACTTTTCCCATGTATGACAAACAAACATAAACATTGTGGGCGAAACGGAGACCCAAAGTATCGCATCCTTGGTGGCGACTCTATAGGCTATATGGAAGGATATGTTTGCGTGGCGCACTCTAATTAAAATTTGTGCCGCCGGCCCAACTGCAATGCTTGCTAACTGTTTTACGAGGTTACGGCCAAAAAAAAAACCAGAAACCAGAATGAGACCGAGTTTCGAGGAAAATGTGGTGAAAAAATGCTAAACACGAACGGAAACTAAACAATGTCCGAGGGCTTGAGAAAATTTAATAAACTCGTGCCCCCAGCGATTTGTACTCGTAATGCCTGAATGAGCTGGAAATTTGTTAGCAGGCAGTGGATTGAGTTAGAGATGAGCTTTAATGGGAGAATAAAGTCACTCCCTGTAAATTAGATGAATAAACGGCAAATCAAAGATATTAAATGTATGTATTAAATTTCAAATGTTATATAATCCATGCAAATTAACAATGTTTTCAGTAATTAAGCATTGTTTTTAGCCTTAAATAACGTGAATGAAATGCAAAACCGAAGGCTTAAATTCCACTCAGAGGGCATTTCTAGTGCCAGCCCACGATCGAGCCCATTGAAGTGCATAATTTAAATCCATTACTCGACCATCTTTGCGCATTAATTGTGCATTCCATGACGTTTAATTGCAGTTAACTGTCGGATGTTCAGCATGCGATGACATTTGTTTGATGTGCTTGCCGGGAACACACATGAAAGCATGTCCGGGCACTCGGGGTCGTCGGGGCTTGAAGTCGATTTGGAGTCGGAGTCGGAGTAGTAGTCATAGTCGGTTTTAGGTCCCATGACAAGATGCAAAGTTTTAATTGATTTCCTGGCCTGGAGAAACCGAGAGAGGGTCTACTACTACGGGACCATGAGGCACCGAGATGGAGGAGACACTTTGCCAGGCCAGGCAGAAAATCATAATTCAACAAGCGAATGGGAGCGGAGCAAACATGTCGGCAACAGTTTTATGCCCAAGCTGGGAGGATGGGTTGTGCTTGGAAAGTCAGTTCGGTTCACTTTAGTCCGTGTTTCGGCTTAGAAGTTTCCGCTTTTGGGGCCGGCGAAGCAACTAAATGCCAGCCGTAAACTTTGGCTTTAGTGCAGTGCATTCCGCTTGCCAAATAAAAGGCTACAAAGTGTTTTGTGTTTGCCACCGCTGCTGTGCCCGCCCCCATTGGTGGCATTCATGTAGTGGGAATATTGTGACATCACACATAAACTTTTCGGCGGGGAACTCGAGCCAGCATCTCGACATGGCTGACATGGCCATGGGATATGGTCGTACGAAATGGTAATGGGAATGGGAATAGCACAAGAAGCAGCTATAGGCGGCATAGGCGTAGGCATTGGCATCGGCATCGGCGCCGTCATCGGCATCCGGTTGCAACGGTTGCTGGGGAAAGCCAAATGTGCCATTTATAATTTAAGCGGGATTAAAGTTTCCTACAATGGCGCTACTTGCCACAGAACATGCCGCGCTTGGGTAAACTTTTTTTATGCCCGAAAGGAGCAAGGACCAGCTAGGAAGGAGGGCAAGAAGCAAAGAGCAAGGAGCAAGGAGTTGCCTGCAAATTTGACATCCGCGCCCCAGACATGGCAAAGCGGATTAGGCAAGTGGCCCCGAGACAAGCTCCGCGGAGCTCCGAGACACTTCCCGAGTTCGCTTTCTTCGGAAATCTGCTCCACTTTGGGGAAGCGCACTTAGATTGGCGGCAAGGCTCTGCTGACACAGTCGATGGCGGGCTTTTATTACCTACTTTAACTTAAATTAAGTGCCTTTGATTTAGATCGTTAGATGGGACTTGAAATTTTAGTACAGCTCAAGTTAAAAGTGAACCAGATTAAGCCTTATCTTTATCAGATTATCTCATCTTTATGCTAAACGGCTCTTTGTTAGGAAGTGAAGAGTTTTTATGTTTCCTTGGAAACTGGAATACTTCTGAGACTGTAATTCTCTACTACTTTTTATGGAATATAACATTTGAAGCCCCTTCTTAAACTTCTTTACTGAGACGTTGGTATATCCCTAGTCCAACTTTATCACTAGTAGTAGTAGAAGAAGAAACCTGAGGAAGCCTGAATTTGTCTCAAATAAAGTGTGAAAATTCAGTGACTCAAATTGAATTACCGAGGTAGATACCCAGGAAATTCTAACCCAGTGGACACCTCAAGGCGAAACAATTTCCAAAGTTTGTCCCCAGAGTTTTCCCACGTGAAATTGAAAACCGGAAAGCGGCCAGGCGACTGTTTTTTCATCGGTGCGTCCAAACTGCATTTCCCTTTTGGCAAAGCGCTGGAGATTTTGGAGCAATTGCTGCAGCGCCCACTTTCCCACTTTCCTACTTTCCGCACTTTTTGCACGGCGAATGGGTGGGGATAAAGCAGGGGATGATGATGGGGATGAGAATGGCAAGACAGAAAAACAAAAGCAGCGAATTGAAAGCGGGCAAAAACAGAAGAGCAGAAAACAGAAACAGAAAGCGAGGCAGCGCAGCAATTTCGCAAATTGTCTTGGAAAATGGCGAAAATGCCTTTTCCCAGCAGTCGGCCGCACACCGCAAGCTGGGTGGCATAAGCGCTGGGAAATGCCGGCGGCAGTTTTCGGATTAATTATGAAAAGTCCCTCCCCCATAAGCCCGAAAGTGGACCAAAGGTAAAGGGATCGGGGCTGTTTGTAGCGGGTTGGAAAATGCAACCTGGCTGATGTTTCACATTGTTTTTAGGGGTCAGCGGCTTAATTGTCTGCTAAGTGTCACAGTGCACACGAAAAGTGTGCGGACAGGCAGGCACCCAGTGCAGTTGGATCTCCTGAATCATGACACGTGCCACCTGCCACCTGCCATCTGCCAACACCCATGCCCTTTGTTGGCTAATTTGGCATGATGGTAGAGGAGAGAGAGAGAGAGAGACTAGGGCAGACTGGGACTTAGACACCAAACAAATGCCCAAAAGCACTTTTGACTAATCAAAGTTATCGAAAACAGGCCAGGCCACTCGATGACCACTCCAAAGTTCCAAGTTGCCAACTCAAAAGACCGCATTTCTCCAACCAGCCGAGCTGTAAATCGCCTTTGAGACGATGCCCCGACAATTGCCACTAAGCCAGGCCAAGAGAACACTCTGGTCACTAGGGAGTTCCAGCCCGACTTCAAAATTCAGTGGCTTTGATTTTCAATTACCTTTACTTGATTCATATGCAATGAAAGCCTGCCACTGCCAACTGTCCGACAGACGTCCACATTCACATCCACATCCACATTCACATCCACTTCCACACACATTCCCGTCCTGCCGCACACACGCACACTACAAAAAAATAAATATTAGAAAAAATATTGGTTGGGGGCTTAGAAAGAATATTTAATTTATATTTGGGCTATAAAAAATATGGGATTAAAGTGAAGGGATTTGGAATTTAAACTGAGACTTTTAGTCTGTTGGTAGTGCTTGACTTCGATCATTCATCATCATTCTAACACCATGACTTTAAGCCACATTGATTAGTAATAACAGCGTTTTTAAGTCCTTCTGAAGCTATCAGTTTCAGCTCTTTTGATTAACAATAAAATTGCCATTAAATATTCTAGAAATATAACAATGGAGGATCGTTGGGACGCATAAAGAACTTTTACTTAGTTTTAAGTTTTATTTTTAGTAAAA